ATCTTGTTGTCTGTTTGCTGCTTACTGTAAATTTAAACTGTAAATATCAATGCAGGTTTGTGTTGTCATATCAGATGTTCAGCAAACAGAATAGCAACTTAATCAGTGTATGTGCAGCTGCAGAGACTTATCTCAAAGTGTGGGCTACAGAACATGAATGTGTCTAAGGTTATAAAACAGATGTTATTTGACTTCAGACTTGATAATGATTATATTAGATTTGCTTCAGGGAAGATCCTCCAAGAGGGAAAAAGTATAAGAATGACAAACACAGTAGGTGCCCTCTGCCTGCAGCATGGTGTTCTTCTCCAGATAAATGATGCTTTCACAAAGCAGTTCTTGAAGGGATTCCTGGGGTTGCATTCTCTTTCTTTATTCCAAGCACCTGATACTAATTTACTGCTGGCTTCAGAAACACTCTGTAGTATTGCTTACTTGGTTGAGAAGTGTGACTGTATAATCCAAACAGAGAGAGTGCTCCAGAGGAGAGGGATCTGGTATCACCTGTGGAAAAGATTCTGAATTTCTACCTGGGGGTCTGAGTTGGTGACCCAAATTCCAGCTGAGGTGGGCTTTGAGGAGTTGCTCTTTGGGTAATGTCTTGTAATGCCTTATCACCATAATATTGCCTCCGTATTACTGCACCCATGCACTGAGTTTTGCAAGAACTCTAAAACCTGGAACACTTTGTTACAGTCGGCAAATACTGGTGCTTAAGCCCATGTGGTAGCCCTTAAAACTGCAATTTTAAACTAGTTTCCTAGAATCTGCTGGTTCTTGCATCATGCAGCAGAAGTGCCTGTGAGTATTTTAGGTATATATGATTTTAATGCTGAGCATGCGCTGGTGATTGAATTTTTAAGGAATGGCAACTGTATAAATAATGCTGAATAAGGGCAGTATGAAAATGCCAAGGGAAGAATGCTGTTACAATATTTAAAAGACTTTGTTTTCTTGTTTGCCTTCTGTTTCTTATTATGTTGTCAAATTACAGTTTTAATTTCCAAATGTGAGGTGGAAGGACAAAGAAATGTAGAGCAGGTGGGTGTTACAGTGTATTTGCCTTACTTGAAGGAGCTGTTGTAGTGAGACAGACCTAAGGAAGAGCAACCTACACCCCTGGCTTCATCTTGCAGCTGCTTCTGAATAATACATCAACTAATATGTAACTCTCTTCCAAAAAGATCAGTCTTTGAATTAGATGAGTATGACGCTGATATTGCCTCAGCAGTCATGGAGGCCTGCAGATCTCCTCTGGATGTCTTGTGCTTTCCTTTGTGCTGAAGGTAATTCTCTTGAGTCTTGAGGTTCACCAGCTCTTGCCTGTGAAGAGCTGCATGCAAATGGAGCATGCAAGAAGATCTGAACAGCTTGATCTTCCTGCAGTGTGTCAGTTACAAATCAGAGCTGACCGATCAGCTGTTCATTTAAAATCTGGCCTTTTTAGGCTTCTTTATTTTAGGGAGCCACATGCAGTATTTCCTCTGACTTGTTCTTAGTGTGTATACATGAAGTGCTAGGAACTGCAGTAAGTAAATCAAACCACAGTTCTTAAACTGACAGTATTCTGGTGGAACAAAAGAATAAATGTAAGATGACTCATTCCAAAAGCGGCCCTTCCTGTCTCCAGAAAGAAACCTCAGACTTGCTCAGTATAGTTTTGAATATAAAAATTAAATGCTTAAACTTTCTCTTCTGGTATTTACCTGTCACAAGATATAATACTGCCCGTTGTGTGTGGTGGTGTGGAATCTCCTGACTTTGCATTATGAGGTAGGCAAGACGTTTTAGAGTCAGCTATTGTTGTACAAACATGCAAACCGTTATTTCCAGTTTTAATTTAGTTATTCTTATCACACCAATAACAGGAGCTGTGTTGTTTGGCAGAGTAAAGCTTTGTGCACTTATTTTATTCAGAAATAGTTCAACCTGAAAATAAACTCTTTGGAGTTAAAACTCAGACTCTGTTCTGTATTTTAAAGCCTAATGAAAGTACCAGGTAGTTTAACACCAACCTAGGAAATGAGACCTTTAGAAAAGGCAAACAACCAGGATTGCAGTCAGCTTAGCAGAAAGACCTCATATCTGGGTCTGTCTTTGGTCCCTTAATTAATAGTACCTCCCCATAATTTGTTGGGAGGTATCTGTCTCTACTGACATCAAGATTAATGATCGTTTCAAACCTGTACATTATCAGTTTATCTCATGTTACCAGTTTCTTTAAGACCTGACCTTTTGTGTTTCCAGCTTTGCAGCTAGTTTCTCTAGCCTGTTTCAGGCATCATACTTGGCATATTTATTTTGGCACTGCTTTGCAAGAGCCAAGTTTTGCCTTCCTCAAATTTTACTTATTAATATCAAGTCTGTTCTGACTTTACAAGATTCAACCAACTCCAGAAATCAGGTGTATAGAAATACTACATTTAGTCAGCAGAGGGAGAAATCTTACCTTGAAGAGGACTGCAGTGATGGGCATTTGAGTGGAACATTTAGTTTAAAAAAACAAAATAAATGCAACTTGAGTTGGCCAATTCTGGGTCAGCTTGTTCTCAGCTGGGAACAGCTCCACTGTGTATGACTTAGTACCTTTGTGGAACTCGGTATAAATATATGCAATATTTATAAATATACCTATATAGAAATAAGTGTAAAAATAGATAAGTCTGCATAACATGCTTTAAGAACCCTTTTTGATAATCTGTCATGTCAGCATGACAGCACAAGGCATTCCCAGGCAGTGGAACATGGGTGGATCCTTGCCCTTTCTGGAGTGAACTCTACATGTGTAAAGATCAAGTCTTTTGAGAGATGAGGCAGCCAGAGGGGCTTCTGTATGTGGACAACTGTCTGCTCAAACAGTTAATTTTGGCTTAAATTTTAGAATCCGTTCCTCAGTATGGAAGAACAACATAGACTGACTATGTCACAAAACTGTGTAGAGCTTCAGTACTCAGTAACTGATAAAGTTTACTTTAAGTGCTAGATTTGTCAAAGGCTTGTTGAAGTGTCTGATTCCAACAACATGACCGTGGCCTTTTTTCCATTTGATTAATTAAAACCTTGCATGAAGGCAGTTTGAAGAAAATGGATTTTATTTAAGCCAGGGCTATTTAATTACAACACCGATAGTATGTCAGTAGCCTGTGTTAATATTACCTTTATTATGAAAGCCTTTGGTAATAAATCATCACACAGTTATCTTGTGTGTAATGCTGGAGCTGGGAGTGACTTGAGGCAGTGCTTTCTCTGAATCGCGAGGTCTTTCTGAAATGGTCACCTCTGATCATCTTACCCTTATATTATACAGTCAAAGAGCAAAAGCTACATTCACTGTATATAGGGGAGGGAAGTTAATGATCTGTTGTCAGACTTCTTTATCTAAAGACTTTGTATTAACTAAAATTCAGTTTTTAGGTTAGTAACTTCATTTGTAATGTAAATAAATGGCAAGCTTTTAAAGCAAAGTTAAATTAATGTGTAATTATTCTTAGTATATTTCTTAAGTCTTAAATATGTTTACACTGATATACTTCTGATGACTTCATCATAATTGAGATCCTCTGATGTGGTTGTGCTTCAGTTTTTTCAGTTTTCTGCTTCTATTTTGGCAGTTGTGGGTTTGGTTTTTATATGTTCACTTTGTTACAGTATCATATCGAGATTGTATTTGCTATGTTATTCCTGCAGTTCTTGGGGTTTGGTTTTGCCTTTCCAAAATATGTTTTCAGTCCAAATGTATCGCAAAGTGCCTCATCAACTGAATGTTAAGAATGCTGTGGCATTGCAGTAGTGATGGCAAACAACTAAAATGATTATTCTCTGTCTAGAAAATAAATGCTAAATTTCTTCTGTATTCTGTAAATATTTAGATGGTACCTATTTGTGTGTTAGTATTTATGTATAGATGTAAAAACAAGCATCTTTCACACATTACTGTTGCCAATTAGAGAACATCACCATGTCACCAGTGGTTTATTCCTCTCTACCCAGAAGAAAAATAAACAAACAAAAAAGAATTCAGTCACAAGAACCCCATGCAGCACTACAGGCTGGGGCATAGTGGCTGGAAAGCTGCCCAGTGGAAAAGGACCTGGAGGTGCTGGTCAACAGTCAGCTGAACATGAGCCAGCAGCGTGCCCAGGTGGGCAAGAAGGCCAATGGCATCCTGGCCTGTATCAGCAATAATGTGGCCAGCAGGACTAGGGAAGTGATTGTCTCCCTGTAGTCAGCACTAGTGAGGTCACACCTCAAGTTCCATGTCCAGTTCTGGGCCCCTCACAGCGAGAAAGACAAGGGAGGTGCTGGAGTGTGTCCAGAGAAGGGCAGCGCAACTGGTGAAGGGTCTGGAGAGAAAGTCCTATGAGGAGCTGCTGAGGGAACTGGGGGTGTTTAGCCTGGAGAAAAGGAGGCTCAGGGGGACCTTATCGCTCTCTACAGCTACCTGAAAGGATGTTATAGCCTGGCAGGGGTTGGCCTCTTCTCCCAGACAGCTAGTGAGAGGACAAGAGGAACTGGCCTCAAGATATGTGAGAGGAGGTTCAGATTGGACATCAGGGAGAAGTTCTTCACTGAAAGCACAGTCAGACATTGAAACAGGCTGCCCAGGGAGATGGTGGAGGCACCATCCCTGGAAGTGTTTAAGAAATGACTGGATGTGGTATTTAGTGCTATGGTTTAGTTGACTTAGTGGTGTTTGGTTAGAGGTTGGACTTGATGACCTCGGAGGTCTTTTCCAACCTTAATGATTCTATGATTCTATACAGTGTGCATTCACTTAAGCTGGTGGTGGTATTTAAAGAGCATCTGGTCTTTCAAGTCATAGGATGCAATCTGAAGAAGTAATGGTTGTGGCTTCAGAATTTCTTCTAGCTCTAAGCTATGTGCTTTTGATATGTACGTAATTTCCTGAATTGCTCTCTGATAAAACTTTTTTCAAAAACCATTTTGGATCTGCAGTATGCTAATATGCTAATATTCTCACATATTTTTCTCCCTTTAAGGCAAGAACTTTTGAAGTGGAATGGATGGGGATATAATGACTCCAAATTCATCTTCAATAAGAAGGGGCAAGCAGAATTCACAGGAAAAAGGTAAGTTGAAAATTTATGTAACTGAAGTATCTTATAGTAGTAGTTTTATTGAAAAGAACTTAAAAGCTGCACAGTACAGTTAATCCAAAGAAGGCAAAAAAGTTGCTTCATCTCACAGAATACGTTATTAGTTCTGCATTTAACAGGTTTATTGAAGTCTATACACAATAGTCTAATGTAGTAAAATAGAATGTGTGGCTTATTAAAAGGTTTATTAAAAGTGTTATAAAGACAAATCAATGTGAGTCTTCTCTGTAACTTGATATACTCATGCATTAAACATTTCTTAGAGAATTAAATCAGACTGAGAATCTGCACCATGTTCTAAAACTTTAGATAACACACAGCAGGTCAGTGTAGTTTTGAGAATCTTTTGAGCATCAACTAGTTGCTTTATTAAACTTCTGATTTGTTTCGGGTTTCTTAACCATTATATATGGAGCTACTTCATCCTCTGAACTTAAAAACTGCTCTTCAGTTCAGTGTTCTGTAGTGACTTCACTTCTGATTAATTACCCACTGACCCTTTGTACAGCAAGCTTGTTTTTCTGAGAAATATGTTTTTTGAGAAATGACATTAAAATTAAATCTACTTGGGGATCTCTTAATTTTGTTCCAATGGAATTTAAACCTGTCACTTGACATCTTACTGTTTTTTGTGTGTTTTTTTCTGCCTGAGTGGAAAGTAATCTTGCAGTCTCTTTCCTGGTTTAAAAAATACATTTTCCATAAGAGTAAAAAAAAGAAGGGGGAAGAGAAATAAGTTTGAAATAAGTACTTTCCTTTATAAAAATTCCTTCCTGGTCTTTGCATTTGTGTAAACTAGCATGAACTAGCTTGCATCTAAGCTGCAGAAACCTAAGGGGGATGCTGAGCACTTCAATTGTTAATGTCTTGATTTTCGGGCCCAAATTAAAATGCAAAGCCTTCTATTAAGCAGTTTACTGTGTAATATTTAGGGAGATGCTGCACAGAAAATCAAAGCACGCTATATAGAATAAACAAAGATAAAGGAGAAAGCATCAAGGCTACCAGTCGCTGTTCTAGAATGGGAGGAGAATGGTGGGTTTTTTCCCCTCATCTACATTTTCTCTCTCTAACTGAGACATAGTATTAGAAATGCCTTGTTGGGCCACACCAGTATAGTTTCTATAGAATAGTTTGTTACAGTGGCAGAAGGAGAGTGTTTGAAGTGAAAATAGGAGAATAGGCATCTGCAAAGGTGTTGTAGATGCTTTGTCCTTTCAGTACCCACTTACAGATCTGTTGTCCATATATTTGTCTAATAACCTCAAGTCTGCTCGTACTGTCTTCCTGTACAGCATCTCACGGCAGCAAGTTCCAGGTTGCAGTTGTAAAGTACTTGTGTTTTGAACCAGGTATCCCATACTGTGTTGCAGGAGTAGGTGAATGATAGTTCTTCAGCCTATCTACTGTGTTATCGATTATATAAGACTCAATCATATCCTCTCTTGCACTTTCCCTCCATGATTAAGAAGTCCCAGGCCCAGAGCGTGCTGTTCTCTGCACCCTCTCTAGCTTCATTAGATCTTTTTAAATCTTTCTGGAGACGGGGACAAAAACTCAAGGATACACCAGTGTTCTACAGAGCAGCGAAAAGAGATGAACTGTCTTCTTTCTTATACCTGCCCAGTAGATGCATAGCACTGTTGGCTGCTGTTGTATGTTGTCAGTGAAGATATCATGGTTTTTTCTATACTGACTACCAGTTACCAAATAATGCCTTTTTTTTTTTTTTTGGCTTTTACAATTACTTTACCTTTCATCTTCTTTTATCTGCTTAGGTTTTTTAGGATCCTGAGTTCCTGTCAGTGTAGTGTCTGTCTCCCCAAAAGAGCTTAACATTATACACCTAGTTGGAGAGTCCACTGATGAATCCAGATTGCTGATGAAGGCATTAAGTAGAGCTGGTCCCAGTACCAGTGTGTGTGGCAAACTGCACTCCTGAGTCTGTCTTGGCCAATGATCAATAAGCTGTGCCCTTTCCTTCTTAGCTTAACCTTATCTTATCCTTCAGCTTCGAGAAGAACCTCTTCAGCTCTGTAGTAATGTATTTTCTTAAATAAGTTTTGGGGTGAGCACCTGTGGAAGTATAAAGGGATGTGGAATTTCATGTTCATTGTATCCCCTTTTTTCACTTTTTGTTTTTACACCCTGATAGAACTCCAAGGATTAGTGAAACAAGATTTCCATTTATGAAAGCCATGTTGACTTTCCCTACAGACAGATTTATCATGTGTCAAATGATTTTTTTATTACAGACTCTGCCATTTCACCTGGGGATAGAGGTTACTTGCTAGTCTGAGCAACAAAACCTATTTTTGGAGTGTGGCAGGAGGAAGGTCTTTTGGGGGGCTTCTTGCACCATCAACATATATATATACAGAGCTTGCTTCCTGCACAATCATGCACTGCACTCTGTGCAGTAAACTCAGTAATTCCTTCTGTACTGTGACTTCTGTCTCTGTCTTGACTTAAAAGTTTTGGGGTTTCTGATAGCTTTAGTTTGTCCTTTGAATAAGTGACTAAGGTTACCCTTACAAACTAGCTATAGTGATAGGTTGGCAACTCCAAAAAGTAGGTCTGGAGAAGAAAACACACCAAGCTGACTTGGATCTCTACCTTCGTTGCAAATTCTTGATGCAAATGCATTAAACTTTCGTTGCTTATTGCATTTCCTGTTCTAGAATTCACATAACTTTCATGTGGGTATGATGAAACAGTAACAGCTGTCACAGGAGGAATGGCTGAACCCTGTCTTCCATGCTGAACAGTCTAGCTTGAGTTAAGGTTGTGGGCTTTTATATCTAGGAATAAAGTAGGGGGTTTTGTCAGTAGAAGAGCTGGGGGTAGTTGAGATGAGGAAACAAAAGGAATTGATCTTTCTGTGTAATAGGTAACTCAGCTGTAGAGTTGGTTGCATCAGCCATGAAGGACAGGGTTGTGATGGGATTAACAGTGACTGAATAATCTTAGAGGGAAGACCCATTAGGCCTAATGCAGTGACCCAGGTGAAAACTATGGTAAAGATTCTCAGCTGCTGAAAGCTCTTAATCCCAAAGAAAGATGTTTTTTTTTCTTCTCTGAGAATACTTGTGCATACATAAATATGCACAAAGTGTGTATATGTATACAGTTAATAGCAGTAGTTTCTAGCTGTTTTAAGTGTGTCCCTTTATGTGTTTTCACGTGTGGTGCATGTGGTCAACAAGCAGTTCCTCTGTCTCTTGTCTGTATGTCTGCATTTGTCACATGGCTAAGCTCTTGCCAAAGACTTTGTGCTGGAAATAATTTCATGTTGCTTGATGGATTCTGATGCGTTTTGGTGATAAAGGAGGACTCTTTAATACTGGTTCTTTTTTTTGCTTGAAAACATAAGGTAAACTGAAATGAGTTTGTGTATCTGAGCCTGCTGTTGACATTGCAGTGTGTCTGTGCTCACGTCCTCTCTCCGTAAATAGCATGTAAACTGTGGCACTGCTTTCTACACTACTGAAAGGGAGAGACCTTTCTTAAGAGTGGTGGGGTGGGATATCCATAAAGCCTTATGCCACAATTCTGAAAGAAAAGTGATACCTAAGATGCTGACAACCAATTTGATTCTGTGTAGTACAGAACAGTTAAATACAATAAAATGTGCAGTTGCTTGAAAAGTAAATGTGCAGAAGCTTTGCAGGCTTGTAGGTAAAGAATTTGATTTTAAACTTGTTTGTGCATACATAGAATTGAAAGAAGTGTATCTGACATACATTTATTTTAATTTAAAATGACCCTATGTAATATTGACTTTTCAGGTACAGATTAGGTGGTATGATATTACCAACTTTTAAGGAATGGATAGAAAAAACCTTTGGAGCAAGTCTGGAGCACAAAACTACCTCTAGAGTAAGTAAATAGCTGAACCAGTTCCTTTGAACATTAGTCTTGGTGATAATCAAGACCACACTGTTAAAGATGATTCAGCTGTTGCACATAATTGATTTAAATATAGTGTATTAATACCTCCAATTTTTTTTAAAAAATACTTGATGTAGAATTACTGTGTGGAACCTTTCATGCCTTAGCATGACTTATGGTTTCAGGATAACTGGTAGTACATTTATTGGAATTAAAGTTTCCAACACAGAAGTTTTTCGTCCTTGTTGGTAACTTGCATTTCCAGACTGTAGAAACTGTTAGCCTAGAGGGAGTTCTTTATGCAACATCAATTTTGTTCATGATAACAAAGACAGAAGATACAGGGAAGTTAAATTGTGATGTGTTTTCAGTGTATTAAAGGTGTTAAAGTTCTTATTTGACAGTAATTCTTTTTTACATGTCTGGGTGCTGAAAACCAGCTACCGGAATACTCAGGATCGAACTGAATATTTTTTGAAAAATAACACATTGGGAATGTTCTGGGTTTTGTAAATCATGCATATTTTTCTTTTTAGAAAGAGTGTCTTATGTTAGTGTCAGGAGACCTGATTCCCTTCTTGTTAGAATTCCTTTGAAGCTTCAGGTTCCTAGAAGCTTCAGGTTCCTAGAAACTAGACAGTTGCTTAAGCAGTGTTGGAAGCAGGCTGTGCTTGTTCTGTGACTGTAGCAACGCTGCTTTGGGTAACAGTTGTACCCATTTCTTGATTGAGTTCAAGATTACCTGCTTCAAAGAAAATGCAGTCTCCTAGGGCCTGGAAACTTGAATGTTTCTTCAGTCTTCTATTCATCAAGACATTCTTTCATCTGCTCTGACTTATAGGATCTCCATCTGCCAATGTATTTTGAAAAAATTCATCTTGATGTGTTTTTGTTGACCAGAGTTGGTCTTAACTGTCAGCTGCTTTAACTTGCTGTGAACAGAGGTCTTGAGAACTGTTGTTCCCTTTCTATGTTTAGAGAAAGTATAGAAAAAAGTAGAGTTGAAGGACAACTACAGATTTTTGAATAATGCCCTGATTCCATAATACGTTTTGCAAACCACCTTCATGGGATTTCTGCCAGCAATGTTGAATGCATTTTTGTTTTGTTGTACCCCTCTGGTTCTGACGGTCTTGTGATCTGGAACAGATTGTCTTGACACAGAACAGGACTCTTTGGAGTCTCCAGTATCTATCTGGACTTCTCATAGTTAGTCTCAAATACTTCTACAGGTCCCTCATTTTCATGTCTGTTGTAGCTCTTAGTTTATATTTCAGTTTGTCATACTGTGTAGGGTGTTTGCCTTCTACTATCATCCAAGCATGAAGAAACTCTGATATAGAAACAGCAGTAGGAAAGGGACCTCTTGGTACATTTGTCTTTCTCTTTCTCTTCCTGCTTTTATCCTGTAAGATTGGAGAGTTCCCTGTTGCATGTGACTTTTCTGTTTAATTAACAACAGTAATGTCATGCTCAGGGCTGTTAAGTTTTTTCTTTTTTCAGACCAGACTTAACACTGACAGAAGTTTAGACCTAGTTCACATAGGCTTCTTGTCTAGCCTTTCAGTGCACAAATCTTAAAATGTCTCATTCCCGTGAGAATAAATAAAGGTATATTTTTATTTGTCATTATGCATAAGATTTTTATAAATAAATATTAACTTTTTAATCTTGGAGATAAAAACTAAAGGATTAAAAAACTTGTGGAAGAGTTAAAAACCAAGATACTTAGAACTATCTGCAAGGAATTATTACAGCTTTAAGTAGTTTATGTCCCACTTACAGAGAACAAAGATCTTCAAGCACTTAACATTCAACTTGAAATGATAGAAAATAGTTCTGTCTGAGGAAATTTGTGAAGAAACAAAAGTTTAAAATATAAAATGTAAGCACAGCTAGCAAGGATTTTTCTTAAAAGAAGTGGTTTAAAGGACTTAATTGGTACCTATTTGTTTGTTTCTCATATTTTCCAAGTTCCTATTGAAGCTCTGTTCTTTGGGCTAGCAAAAAGCATTGTGTGAATGTACATTAATAGCAGAACAGTAAGAGCAGCAATCCAAGACCTGACTTTCATTGTGCTTATTGTGACTGGCTCCTAAAATCATGATCTCTCAGTAGTGGTGTGCCTCTCACCTAACAACACTTAATTTCAGCTTCTATGTCTTTAGGTGACAAGGTGAATATATTGGAGGCAAGACTTTTTCTCATCTGTATGACACCTTATTTCAATAACTACAACATTAGCCTTAAAGCAAGTCAGGATGGCACATATCCTCTTCCAGAAGTCCAATCCTTCTTAAAACTTTATTTTCATTACATCACGTGTCCCATATGAAAATTCTAAACCAAACATTTGGCTATCCTTTTGAACCTGTAAATTATGTTAGCTATCAGTAATGAACATCTCATGCAACTGTTTCTTTCTGAATTATTATTGTGAGTACTCTTAATTTCTACATAACCTTGTGTAATTCCTTGTAGATGGACACTGGTAGGCAAGTTCCATCACCATGGATCTTTTAACTATCTGAAGACTTTCCTGTGGAAGTTTAAATCTTTCCTTCTTCAGCTTTCACAACTTTGAGACTCAACCCATTCAGAATAGACTGCTGCTGTTGTGACATATGGGATACTACTAATCTCCAATTTCCTTGCTGTTAGCTTGTTAACTGGTACTATCTTCTAAGATTTTATTTTAAGACCCGTACTGGCAAAAAGTATCACCTGTTCTGGAGGTTATGTAGAGCAAAGAAAGGCAAAACTCTGTTCCAGAAAAGAAAAAAATTCTTTGACTCTGTGGAACATGAGTGGAAAATGGTGGTAGGGCTGTAAGCCAGCTCTTTGTGGCATCCCTAGGCAGCCTGTAGTCTTTCCTGGTAGCGCTATAACAAAAGCATGAGCACGTTCCTCTCTTTGGGTTGGTGTCAGTTAATTTGCCAGCAAGGTTCTCATGAGAGAAATGTGAAAGCAATGCACTCTTTTAACTAATTTCTCTGCAACTCCAGATATTTGAAACTGTATTTAAAATTAAAGAGATGTGATAAAAACCCTTTCATTTCTGCTCTCAGACTTGAGGGACTTAGCTAACGGGAAGTAAGATTCTTGATGAACATTTTCTTCTGAAATAGGACTTGAAGTGAAGAAGTTAGATTTTAGTCATAAGACAAGCTTTTTATCTAATTAAAGAACTCTTTAATTAGAGGCCATTTGTAATAGAAGACATATTCCTTTAGGGAGATTACCCATATTTGCTCCATTTTTAAGGAGAAAAAAAAACCATGGGATTTTTTTTCCTTTTTTGGAACCTTCATAGCACATAAAAGTGTTACAGTTAATGTCTGCAAAGACTGAAGTGGACTTCAGAAAAGAGTTAAGTGGCTAGGTCTGCACTTTGAGAAACCATAAGAGTACTAGATAAGACATCTTTTGGAAGGACCTGGGAGAATGGGTCATTAACCTTAAGCAAGGGTTCTCCCCCGGGACTTACAGAACCTTGATTCAAGGCCTGTTGGTAAGTCAAAATGTCCCGTGTAGCTTCTTTGAAAGAAAAACTTTTTTCCGAGGTGTTGATCAGGACTTCTGCCTGGAGGCTTTCTGGAAACACTTGCATGTTTGTGACTCAGCATGGATTTTATGAACTTTTGTGGGTGAAGTGTATTTAAAGCATGCCAGTTCAGTTATGTGGTATCAGTTGTGTCTGATATCAAACTTACTTGGGCCTTGCACTGGGTTTCTGATTAGGCTTTGGTCCAATTCGGGTTTAACTTCCAGTACATGACAGGAGATGGGAAAGTGGGTTAGTGAAAACTGAACACTTAAGTAAAAGAATTTGCGGAGTTGTGGTGGCTTTAGTATGTATTTTAGTGTTTTGGGAAGTCTTAAAAAAGGTATTTTGTTCAGTATGCACTCATAAGCTAGTGTATTTCTCTGAATTTGTCAGGAGGAAGAAAGGTAAGAGTGTGCTACTGAAATAAAACTTCTTGTGTGCATATAGTCAGCTGAGTACTGGGTAGGATAAGTTGGATTGGTGGTTGAAGATCTGGAGGAGAAATTATTTCTTTCTGATTTGGAATAGTTGTGTTAGGGTATCAGTGTTAACCTGTTTTTATTTCTGTTGTATAGAAATGCTGTAAGAGTGAACCTATCTTTAATGAACTTATTTTTTTGTATTGTAGGCATCCTTAAATGTTAATGATGTACCTCCATCCATTGTAAATGAAGAATTTCTTCAGGATCTTATAGCCACTAAAATCTCATATTCCCAGGATGCAGAAGATAGGGTATTCAGAGCTCATGGTAAGAGAACTTGATTTAGGTAACTGTGCTACTTTTGATTCTTCCTTCTTTGGACTTGTTAACTTATTGTTTGTGTTTCAGGTCACTGCCTACATGAGATATTTGTACTCAGGGAAGGAATGTTTAAGCGAATTCCTGATATAGTTGTATGGCCTGGTAAGCTTTAATTATCTTATTCTTCCTCCTAATCTGGGAGGCCATTGTTTACTAAAGTCTGGTGCTTTGTAGTCATGGGGAAGCTGTCTCTTGGTTCACTGACTTTACTCATCTTTACAGAGAAGGAGTTTTCTCATGAATGGTAATCATGATTATTTAACATCTGGACTGCAGATTGTCTGTGAAATCCCATCATTTTGTGGGGAAGTCAAATTTACTAGTAAATATAGCTGAGGCTTCTGTTAACAGATGAATTCATGACTTAAGTAACCATAGTGTAATGTGAACTTGTATGTTCACCAAGAGTAGTTGTCTAAATGGCAATCCAAATTTTGATTTTTAAAGGCATACATGATGGTAGAAGGTTAGTGAAATGTTTGTATTAAAGAACTTTGTTTTATGACATGCTGTACTTCAGTAAAAACTCCTATCAGAGCACTTTACAGAGGATCATTGACTTGAAGACAGAGCAGTGCAATCTGAGTATAGTCTAGACCCACTTTAAATAGAGTAATAAATAATGCTGTTGCAGAAAATGTGCTTGTTTCTGTCTAGTAGAAGAGGACAAATACTTTTTTTACCTAAATCATGTGCCTCTGGTCACTAGGAACTACTTCATGTGCCATTCTTTAGTAGAGAACCAAAAGGTCATTCAATCTAAGTACCTGTCGGTTTCTGTTCAGCTGTATGAATCCAGTTCTTTCCTTATCTTTTATAACTTTGATAGCTGCACTGCATTACCCAAAAGATTCTTATAAGAACTTAATCCTAGCTCAGTTTCACCTCCTTTATTTAGAGGAAAAAATCACATATGAGAAGCATACAAAGAGGCACTATAAGATGCAATTCATTACTTGAGAACAGCTACTTGCATGACAGCACTGGTGACTATGAACAGTACTTGCCACAGCTTGTGTTTTGTGTAACTCCAAAAGCAGCTGAAATAAAATGATTAACTACTTTATTTAAAACTGCTCTGTATGGCAAGAGCAAAGTAGCTAGAGTTTGAAAACCATTTATTTAGTCCCACTCATTCTCTGCTATTTCTACAAACTCATGTACAAACTGTATTTGCTCTCTTTTTTGATCCTTTTATTTGTCTGTGCACAAGCATTTCTGCTTCCCTCTTTGTCCAGGTACAGAATGCATTTTGAAGAACTAAATTTCACCAGCAACTCCACTTCTGAAACTGAATGTCAGCCAGGAAGAAAAGTTCAGCTTTTAGAAGAGACTTATTTCTCACTTAAAATAAATTGGACACCCTATTTTCAGTAAAAGCTCTAATCTTGATTTGATGAATTGTTAACTGTTTGGTAGCCCATCAGGCCCTGAGAATTTGTAGGAGGTCTCAATCCATGAGTAGAGCAAGACACTAAGTGGTTAGTTTTTCAAATGTAGAATTGTTTGAAGTCTAAACTTTACTCTGTAACTCCTGTAGTTCTGAACTCAGCTCTTATCTAGTGCCTAACTTTGAAATGCCTTCCTTCCTGGTGGCAGAAAAGGCATTGCTGCTTATTCAGACCGTGGTATTTTGTAATAAGCAAATAATAGTACTAACAACAACTCCTGTTTTTGTTAACTCTCTGGACTTTTTTAGTTTGCCATGAAGACGTAGTTAAAATTGTGGAATTAGCCTGCAAACACAATCTCTGCATAATACCATTTGGTGGTAAGTGTTATGAAATCTCATATCTGTTTAAGGTCATTAGTGAAAATGTATTCTACTTCAATTTAAATGTGTGTTCTTAGTCATACAGTATAACAATAATTCAATAGTTAGACTTTTTTAGTAATATTTTAAATGTGTTCTTAATTTTTTTTATGATCTTGAGGTATTAAAAGCAGCAATATTCAATTTAGTGGAAGTCATCAAAAGTATGTCAATGCCTTCAATATTGAATATGCAAGAGGAATGACTATATGAAGGTGAAATCTCCCTCTGTGCCTTGGAAATCCTAATTTCCTAGAAGTCAGGAGATTCAAATATTTATATTACATATACCATGGTTTTGGATGCATTACTTGTGCTCTATTCCCACAACATGTATAAATTAGGGGTTTTTTGTTGTACTGTTGAAGCTCATAGTTTCAGGGAGGATTGTGGTCAAACACTGTACTGCAAAATAATTTTAATTTCCCTTTAGACACTTTTCAGTTTGAAAGGTAGAGACTCCTATGGCAAGAGGTTTTCAGGAAGTGTTCCACAGACAGAGTACAGGTAAAGGCCTGTACAATCTGTGTCTGTCTCAGCCTAAAGAATTAAAAGGACTTCAGGTTTTTAATTGTGGATGCTTTTTCCTCTAAGCCTGCTGAAGTAGAGTTGTGAGCTACCTTATTTTGACATAGAGCTCAGGGAACACGGGATGTTGGCTTTCGTGAGCTCAGTCTGTGGGAAGGTTTTTGTCAAAAACTCTTAAACCTGTGGTATAAATCTGTGTATTTTACTTGGTACTTGCTTATGCTGTAGGAGTATAGCCTTTGTAGGAAGGATGTTTACTGTAGGTCATTTGATGGCAATACCAGATTTGTGGAGCTGGTTCCTCCGTAAAACAGGCTTACCCTTGCCAGATGCATCTGGAGAGATGCAAAACTGTTAAAAGGCACCCTTGGTACTGGTAAACTGGTATAGCTGAAAGCAACAATATTGACTATTTCTTGTTTACTGACCAGGATACAGAAAGATGTTCAGGTTGTTTTCCAGGTTTGTTTATAGTAAACTACAATCAGCTTGTGGAGTTATTACAATAGGAGTCGGTATTTAAGGAAATGTCACTGGAAACAAAGGTGATGGGCTTTACTGCTCTTGAGCGTTTTATTAGCTGGCACTGTCTCTGTACTTGCCATTGACTGTTCTTCTTGTAGCCTGCTGTAGATAGATCTCTTCAGCATCCTATTCTCTCTTTTCCAATGGCTTTTGCAGTCTTAGAGAAATGAAAGGCTTCTTGGCATCCTGTAAAGATACGTTAGAAAACTGGAGAAGTCTGACATTTGACTGCATCCATTTTTTTTATACTTACACCCTTTTGGTTTATTTTTTTACTTTTAGATAAGTATTAAATTCCTGTGTTAGGTAGACTTCTTAATCCAGCTTTGTAGACTGAAGTGTAGTGGCTTCCATAGTGGTATCTAAACACTATATAGAAACCATAGCTCTCTGTTTCTTCAAGGCTTTGGAAATTCTTATCCCTCCTTGTTTTAAAATGCTGTGCTGGCCTTAACAGAAGCAGCTGAGATGGTCACAGAATGTTATGTTTTTTTTACGTAGTACTCTTAAAGCATTGTCCAGCTCCACTGCAGCCTTGATTTTGTGAAACCCAGTTTGGGAGAAGGGATGCCCCTAAAAGGCTAATCACTAGCCTCAAACAGTTCATTCAGTGATCTTACTGTATTAAGTTCCATATCAGAAAGGAGGGAGAGAGGGATCGTATTGGAAGAAAAGCTACCTGAGAATTTTATGATCACAATATATCATTCCCATATTTGCAGGAGGGACAAGTGTCTCTAGTGCCCTTGAATGTCCTGAAGAAGAAAAAAGAACAATTATCTCGCTGGATACATCACAAATGGTATGCCTTTCTTAATGTTTTGTTTTAATTTTTTTAAATTATCCTACAGTTACATTGGTGATCACTAGTACATTTCTTTCTTTGCCAAAATAAAGTAGGTATGGAAATATTAATCTGTACCATGCATGATTAAATTGATACTCCTTCAGCTTAAGTGATATTTCTCCGTTGTTAGCCCTGTACTGCTTCATATGACCTGTATGTATTTAATAAGAAAAAAGTCACTGCTAAGCCTTCTTATAGCAACTTTAAGTGAAAGTCAGAGGAAGCCACTCATCTTCTATATTGGAACTTGCATCTGATGTTAGATGAAAGGCTAAGAGGAAGTTGCTATTGCAAATTTCACTAGTTTTTGCAGACTTTAAATTACTTAAAGCAGAGATTAGTAAGGTGACTTAATATCTATAAATCAACTTGAAGGATAAACTTTCAAGAAAAAGCTCTGGGTTTTTTGTGTAGATAACATCTTGAGAACGTGAAGTTCATAGCTTTATGGCAGTCTAGAAATGAAGTTCTGTAAAATTTATTGCTAGTTTTCATCTTTCCATTTTTAAGAAGCTTTATACTTTTAAACTGATAGCTTTATGGCTACATGGTAATGAGGTGCTTCAGATAGAGCTCTGTATCTTTGATGTAAGGCTCTACTGCCTCCAAATACCTGCTGAGCTTAATTCTTTTAGCCTTGAAGGTAAGACCTGGGTTTTGGCTCCATTTTCTCCAGTTAGTCAGCGGTCCTTCAGTTAAACTTGTTTCTCTCTGTTTCTAGCTACAAAGTGGTATTTTCTGCAGAAGTGTTAATTGCATATTGAAGGAAGCTCTTCTGGTGTCTGTGTGGAGTGAAATCCAAAGAGTACAGTAGTGACTTAGACCTTCATTTGAACTCATTGATTTATAGCCCAAAGCTCTGACTTCTGTTGGGGAGTGGGAAGGAAATGTTGTTAATTCTTACTATCATGGGTTTTTTTGTCAGCTAGATATGTAAATATGCACTGAGTTAGAAAATAGACCACTTTTCAACCATCTTGAATGACTGCCAGCCAAATAAGGAAATTAAGGTGAAAAGGAGCATTGTCAGAGTTAAAACCTGTGTATGTCGGAGCAGTTAAGACAGTTGCATGAACTTTACTTTTTTAATAAGTATATATATATATTTAGGGTCTATATTAGATAAAAACTGATTTATGTAAGCATCGGAGATAATTTATACAGTTTATATTGAAACTGAAGGTGTCTAGAAGGAGCTGAAGTAGTTGGCTTTGAATAATTAGCCCATACTTCATGAGGGGGAGAGAATTTTTTTTAAAGCCTAGTTTAAGTTAGACTACAAGATGTCCACATTTCTTTAATTTGAAAAATCAAGGCAGAGGGAAGTTACAGCTGTTCTCCTTCCATATAATGTTAATACACAGAATTATCAAAGTACACCAGAAGTGTACTAAAGAGGGTAAGCAGAAACTTCTATAGTGTCCTTAGTATGTTGTTAAGTTCCTTAACCATATTTGTTAAGTTTCTCCTTGCTGTGAATTGTCCTCATGGAGAATCATGCTTAGCGAACCATGTAACTTGCGGTGTTTGCTACTTTTCCTGTTTAGTAGAATATGCTGATGGGACAGTGAGTGTCTTGTCAGATAACATGATGTAATCCTTCCAAGTATCTTAAACTTCTGAAGTATGTACCTACTGTGGTATTCTGGTGTACTGTGTCAAAATCCAAGAGCTGAACTGGAATAGCTGAATGTACTCTGTTTAATCCATGCAGTATGTTAAAGAATACTTTTCTTGGTGTATTCTTAATGTCCAGATAGTCAGATTCAGGTACCTTCAATCATGTTAATTGTGGAAATTGCTGTATTGCTTAACTCCTGTTAAGAGTTTTGACTTAATTATTTCTGGCTTTTTTGCTTTGTTTCTGTAAACGTTCCTAGTATAAATTAATTAATAAGTCTCTTACTCTCTTATAGTGGTGACTTTATAGATTGAAACCTGTTGTGTACCTGTTTGAGGGAGTGAGGAGGCTCAGCTTCCATTGCTGTAATGACTGGAGTGGTATTAGTAGTAAATTGTATGACCAAGCATGTTGATCCTAGCATTAGGGAGAGAAAGAAACAAAAATCTTGAACACTGGTTCTTACTTTTGATTGGCTTTTCAACAGAATCGGATTCTCTGGATAGATGAGAAAAACTTAACAGCTTGTGTAGAAGCTGGCATTGTTGGACAAGATCTGGAGAAACAGGTATTTTCATCTGGTTAACTGGCTAGTATTTTTTCATATTTTTCTTAGGTGTTCCTCATGTCTTTTCCAAAGCATTGAATTCTAGCTTAATCCCTGTGTGTTTCATGCAGCTGGTGTGGTAAGAATTACATGCATTGGCTATGAACCAACCTTCCCTAGTATATGACCAGTAAACATATAAAGCCACAATTTCCTCTAATATGAGAGAGAACCATGAGCTAGATGAATCACCATAGACAGTACACAGAAGTGACTTTCAGTCTTTAAGTTAGAACCACTTTGTACAACAGAACATAGTTCATGATTCACATTATGTGGTATACTTAAATACAGCTGTCCAACATGATTGTTATCAGTTAGTCAGTGCAGATTGATTATCTCAAATGCATTAATGCAGTTATCACTTAATGTGAGACTACTTGGTCTTTGAAGCTGTCGGACAGCAAGAATTAGTGTTGTAATTCTGGGGGCATCCAGTCAACCTCAGGTGCTGTGCAGATGGCAAAGCCAAGTTAATACAGAAAAATGAGAAACCAGTGATTACTTAATGTACAGGAATGTGTGATCTGCATCACAAATAGTTGACAATGTTGCATACAGGAAGCCCAACCAGATGGCTGTGTATTAAAACACATCTCTCCTTGAGAGAATTAAGTACAGGCAATTTACTCGCATTTTCTGCAGACCCGCTGCATAGAAATTAGGATAGAAAGAACAAGAGATTAAGTATCTTATTTATTGGCAGCATTTGTGCAAAGTTGGCACTTACTTAGTCATAACTTTTTCCATATGTATTTGAATTCGCACCTTCTTTTGAATGATAGAGGTCCTTTAAAATATGGGGCAGGAGTATATGTCACAGGGTGATATGTGGCACAGTGTGTGCACAGCAGAATTAGAATCAATTTGCATTTTATGTACCTATCAAAGATAAAACTTGTGCTTGAATAAATTGGTGTGTGATTGGGATACTTACTTTTAAAAAAAAAAGGAAAACAAACCAAACAAATACAGAGTATTGACTTTGGAGTACTAAGCCAATGCAGGCTCTGTAGGATGTGTTTTTTCCTTTCTTTAGCTTGCTGAAAGTGGCTTCTGTACAGGCCATGAACCAGACTCCATGGAGTTCAGCTCACTAGGAGGATGGGTAGCAACACGAGCATCAGGCATGAAAAAAAACATCTATGGAAACATTGAAGATCTGGTAAATAGTTTTAATACTTTTTCTAGTTATTCTGTTCAGAGATTTAACTTTTATAAATGACTCACAATAAGAGAAGGAAGAGTAAATAGTGGTTCTTTGTGTGATACAGTTTTGGCATCAAATCTTGACTGAAATGCTTGTTTGCTTACTTTTGGTATTAATGGTAATAATCCTTGTCACTGATCTAAAAGTAATTTTCATTTGGGTACTCACAGGCTAGCCTAAGGAATCATTATCCTGTCCTGACTCTGGTGCTGTCTTCTACCAGTTTGTGCTCTCTGTTAATCCAGTGTAACAATCCTGTCAAGCTTTTGGGGTGATTGCAGAATTCCCGTGTTTTCTCCTACCTGTTGTGTGTACCTGAAGATGTCTAGTTGAACTATCTAACTCTGACAGCAAGCTAGCTCTTTCCACCTTTCTGGATCCCCCTAGGCTAGTAGTTTTTTTCAAATCAGTAGGCTGATCTAATTGACCATGTGGATGCACAGTGGTGAAATCTAATGCCACCACACGGTCTGTAGGAACCCAGAGGAAGGAAGCAATACACTGGGAATGGCCGTATTCTACTCTTGAATTTGTTTTAAGCATTGAAATGGTTCATCTTTATATTAGGTAATTTTTTTGGTTTTAAGCACACTTTTTGATTTTAAAGTCCACCTTTTCTGTTATAATAAGTATATTGAAGATATTGAAGCTAAATCATCACTGTTCAGACTTTGCCTGTGTTTTTGCTTCAAACTTCCAGCTTTCTCTGGTAGTTTGTACAATAACCCTTCCACATGTGAATTTTTTCCTCCTTTCCTGCAGTACACTCTAGGTAATGTATCCCTGTCACCTCAGGCCTTTTCATCAGCTCATAGTTCAGACCTGTTTGTTCTGTGCAGAGATGTGACACTTCACAGTCAGTGACTGAGCTTGGCAGGAATTACACAGTTTTTATTCAGTAGACCTGGCTGAACTAAAACTAGTAGCACTTACAGAGTGTCATTGTTCCCCTGCTGCCTGAAGTGTTACTGAATGGTATAGTTTGGCTTGTACTGGGAGTTGTGAAGCAAAGGGCTTTTCTATTATGGAAGCATAACTTCAGGCTAAAACAGCTTCTGAAATTTTCATTAGGAGGAAATAGGATTGAAAATTGATTCAGAACAGTTCATGAGTTTCAAAATGGCACAGTGAGAATGTTTCAGGGAAGTGTTTACCTTCCGAGGAAACTTTTATATCTTGAAACAGTGTGTTATATAAGCTGCCTAAAATCCACTTACTGCAGAATCAATGGTTCATAAATTGCATATAATGAAAATTACTTAGCTACCTGTGCTTGAAAGTTTTAAAGCCATTAGTTGAAATTCAGTAGATTTGCTTCATTTAAAGGCATCACTAAAGAAAAAAAAAGCTGAAACCCCACCCTTCCTTGGTATAAAATAATTGAATAGAGGATTAAAAAGCTCCCACATCTGGGCTCTATTGCATATGCCTGAAAAAAGCTGGAAGCAAAAATATTGAAAAATATTTTTTAAAAAACAACTTTCTCACCCTACATATGTGTTAGTCTTATGACAGATTTTATATTGATAATCTGTTTCACAAAGCTTACTTCTGTCTTTCCTCCTAATGGTAATATTTCTGTAGCAATCAGTGGCTGAATTATATTAGCCTGAACAAGCAGCAGTACTAAAGCAAAACTTAAGCAAAGTTTAAACCCTCACTTTTTTTCTCTGAAGTACTGTATATATTCTGCATTAAAATCCTGGTATTTTTGAAGTTCTGTCTACACTGAGAAACAAAACAGTTTTAACTGGTGTTGCCTGCATGTAGCCAACAGCTGATATGATTTGCCAAAGAACTGGAAATGATCTGTTGTGTGGGGAACCATGCTGTGTTATAAATAATTGTTGGTAACAATCCTTGGGTTACCCAAAAGTTCTTGGGATTGCCTACAGAATGCCTAAAATCTGCAAGGCTGAACTGTATCAAGCTTAATATGTTTTGTAGAAAAGAAATATAATAAAAATCTGTGCTTAATGCTAGTATTTCTAATCATTGCATATTGTTTAAACAGGTGATTCATATAAAAATGGTAACTCCTAGAGGAATAGTAGAAAAAAATTGTCAAGTACCTCGCATGTCAACAGGACCTGATATCCATCACTTCATTATGGGATCTGAAGGTATAAATACAGTATCTTCACTTTCTGCATCTTAATTCAGCTTCTGTAGTGGCTTGATTGTTTGAGCATCTTTAATGCTGTGACTTCCAGTGTGTCGATGGGTAGCATTGTGCAGACAGAATTTCTTGTGTTAGGATAATACATTGAGACTTTAATTAGGACTGTGAAGTTTAGCAGCTTTTAACAGTGGTTTAAACAGACCTGTGGAGTTAGCCTACAAGTCTAGTAACAAGCATCATGATTTAGAGGATTTTTTTTAGGAATTCACCATGTAGATAGTCAGGAATAAATCCCCTACTACTGCAAACTGAATTTTTGGGATTTCAGATTTATGTTAAGTTATAGCATCCTGATAAGCAGTTGTTAAGTTGGGTAACTTGCAAGAAGTTCATCCTGCAAAATTTTGCTCAGTTTTTCTTTTCTCCTGAAGGAACTCTTGGAGTGGTTACTGAAGTTACGATAAAGATTCGTCCAGTCCCTGAATACCAGAAGTATGGCTCTGTGGTCTTCCCCAACTTTGAACGAGGGGTGGCCTGCTTAAGGGAAGTGGCAAAGCAGGTAAAGAAAAGCTGGATGTTGACTTCCCTCAAGGACATGGATTCTAGCAGTAGGGGTGTGTTGATGCTTTAGTATTTCTGGCATTTGATAACCAAGAATCTGAGATAGGAATCTTGTAAGCATATATGAAAACACAGTATATGGTACATGAGGCTTTTGGAAATTATGCAGTTGAGGATTGAGCATTTTATGAGTTTGCTTGGTATTCTGAGCCAAAATGTGGACAGGCCTTGTAATGGCTTGTTTTAGTGGGAGTCATTTGCATATTGCAGCACAAAGAATTTGGCTTTGCATCTCCTTCAACTGAGAACTTTACCCTCAGATTAATTAAGACTGTGTAAAAGGGACCAATATTTAAAGGAATTAAGCTGCAGCATACAGGCAAAAGGCAGTGAAATTTACGGCTCTGAAGTGGCAATGGAACAAAAGGAATGCAATGAAAGGATATGGCTTGTGTTTAGAAATCACTTCCTGGAGCACAGTGACATGTGCAGGTGAGGGGGATATTTCGAGGTGCAGTTGTGCTTACACTGTAGTATTTAAATAGAGAATAGTGTAGTCAGGTGGTTTCAGGTAGCAAAACTCATACACAGTACCCAAATTCCATAAAGCTTTTTCTCCAGACTATGCTTCCAAACAGATCTTACACTGGCGAGCCTCTTTCTCCACTGACTAACTTTTCTTTGCTCTGTGCAAAATGTATCAAGTCGTATATATGGTAGAATGTACCCTGAATTGGGGAAGTAATTTCAGAAATGTTTTAATTAATGCCAAACTAAACACAGCTTTACATTTTTTCCAGTGATTGGTCTAAATTAATGGCTTAATGTTCCAAGCCAGATGTTCAAACTGGTATGTGAATGACATGTATATGCTAGTCAGCAGCACTTGCCAGTTTTTCTGTCATGCTTCTACTGCTAGTGCTTGTCCTTCCTGTTAAAGGTACCTAAGCAGACTTTTCGGGAATGCTTAACATTTACAGTCAGTTAGGGAACTAGTGTCTTTTCCCTGTCTTAGTTAGAAGAGGGGGGGAAAAAAAGGCACAATTTGCCACTTAATGTCGCTCCGTTTCTAAGCTTCTGTTGCTGCTGCTGCTGTTTCACTGCTTATTTGAGCCTGAACTACTTATTCTTCTCTTCTGTTGCCCCTTGCATCAATCTCAGTAAATATTACAGTGATTGCTATCTGAAAAGCTGTTTCTTTTATGTAGCAGTCCACTTTAATGTAAGAATAATCAACCTGCAGGTTGTGGGTGGGTTAGTCTCATTTAAAACTACTCTTATAGCCTTCTTCTGTCAACCTGCTTGGTGGGCTTAGTTCTTCATGTTCCTTCTTCCTATTGTGTGACCAAAGATATATTAATGATACTAGGAAGGGCGAACAAGTGAAAGATAAGTATTTCCATATCCATGTGATTAGATGATGGCTAGCTTAAAATTCAGACTTTGTCGCATTCCTCTGGTCATACATTTCAGTATGATTGGACATGACCATCAGAGATTATACAGTATAGGCATGTGCATGAAGCTTACCTAATTGAAGGCAGCTGTTCTTACTGTTGTTGATCTCTGCACAGTGCAGAATCTAGATTAGACACAGGTATGGATTTTAATTGCAGTCTGATGGCAGAGTGTTACTGTACTAGGTCTAGCAAGGATGGATTTGACTTTCTTCATAGCAGTGTGGTGTTAGCTCTTGTATTTGTGACCAATACAGTGTTACCACTCCAGTGTTTTAGCTATAGCTGAACAGTGCGTACACAGTATCAAGGCTTTCTCTGTTTCTTACTCTTCCTGCCAGCAAGTATATTGGGAGCAGACAGGAGGCTGGAAGGGAAAACAGTTGAGACAAACAACCCAAATTGACCAAAAGCAGATACCATAAAAATCATGATCATAAGTAGAACTGGAGGGGGGAGTTTCCCAGGGGTTGCCATTGCTTGAAGACTGGCTAAATATAGGTCAGCTGGTGGTAATTGATTGCTTTTTGCATTATAATTTTGTGAGTTTTTTTCCCATTTTGCTTACCCAGCTGTCTTTATCTCAGCCTGCATATTTTCCCACTTTTGCTCTTCTGATTTTTCTCCCCATCCCACTGATGAGAGGGGTGAGCAGCTGTGTAGCACTTAGCTGCATGCCAGGGTTAACCCTCAACAATTAGACTTTTCCAGTGGATTTGTATTTTATGTGTATCTCCAATTACACAGCAACATAAGCTTAATACACTAAATGAGTATCTTTAGTTCATATGCCAATTTAGAAAACCACTCAGAACTTGAAGGTCAAAGTTTTTTGCTGTTACTATGTTGGCTTGAGGTTAAACTGAAAATTCTCAATGCATTATATCCAGCCATACCTAAGAGATGTTGCTATTCAAGTGAAAACAAGCTTATAGTCACCCCTTTTCAATTATGATGATGGCCATAGGTCTCTGGTATCAAAGTGTGCTTTCTTGTATGCTATTTTACAGTGAAATTTTTATTGTAATGAATTTTAAAACCAACAATCATTTTATTCTCCTCCCTCTTATTCCCCTAACTTTGCCTCCAAGAGATGTGCTCCTGCATCAATTCGCCTTGTCGACAACGCACAGTTTCAGTTTGGTAAGTATGTAGATCATCTTGGAGGAGTGTCTGTTTCCAAGGGGTTTTTAGTAGCTTAAGTCTGCTTTGAGTCATAATTCTTTTGCTCAAAACTAGATAAAGAAGGCAATAAATCCAAAGTTCAAACTCCAGATAGTGCCATAATGTGTAGTTTCAGAAAACAGAAACCTGTCTTTGTCTCTGGGGAAACAGTATCAACTAGTTGAGTCAGTAAAGAGCCATGATCTGCATATAAATACATGAGATGGGTTTTTTTGCTACGTTTTCTTTCTTGACATAGTCTCCTGGTGAGTTGGAAATTCTGGAGTCACTTCCTCTATTTTGCTGTAAAGGAGCAGAGATTATAGTTTTGAAGTACAGTACCTGAAACATTTTCTTCCTAAGGGTATTAATGAGAAGTTGGATATGAAAAAAAATTAGAATGCCAGCACCTTACTTTGAAAGTAAGTGGGTTGATGCCTTTAAATTTCATGAAAGCATCACAATTGGTACACAGATTCCTTAGAAGTAATAGGTTTTTTGTAAATATTCTGATGTGGCAATGTTTGACTGGGTGGGAGAGAAGCAATGACATGCTTGTCCAAAGTGAGCTGTCTGTTTTCAAAAGAAGCTCCGATGTAGTAAATGCTGTAATTGTGTGCAAATACAACTAAGCTGTGGGCTTTAAGTCAATGATGCTACTAGAAGATTACTCAAGACAAAGATTTTGTGAAATTTCCTGTGGTTCAAACACCTAAATAGGACAATATCAGACATGTAGAAAAATCATTTTTTAGCATTTCTTAGGAAAACTTGTTATTTTAACTCTAGTAAATTTGACAAAAGATGTGTTCTGGCTCAAGATGCTCTCGTGGCGACCTTAAATTCCACTACCGGAAGCTAATAGCTTGCAGAACTTGAAGGTCTTGCTGAGACCATGCTATTTTGATTGTATCCAGAAGATGAAAATGTGAAGTGTGAACGATCTTGAAAACCCCCATTTTAATACCACTTTAACAAATCAGAATTTCCGAAACTTCTTTTAGACAGAAGCCTCAGTAATGAATCTCAGCTTCAAATGGCATTAATATGATGATGTTGAGAAAGCTGAATTTCGTTTTTCAAACCAAGGAAATGGGGATTTGTTAGACCCAAGAGCCCAGCAAGCCTTGCTGCTTGCTTTGCTCACTCTTTTGTGTTACACTATTTCACTCAGACATTTCCAACAGAAGGCAGATGCATTTTTTTTTTCTTTTTCATTGGGAAGCACAGTTTGACCAATTATAGGCTTTAAACATAGTTTCAGGTGTGTCAATATAGATTTTTCTTGTAGTCACTATTAATTAATTTTTTAGATTGTGATTTAACAAATTCATGTCCTTTTATTATCTGGTGCTTTTTTGTGTGCTTAGTTAAGTGTGCTTGGAGGTATATTCCTTGGTTTGTATCAGCAGAGAGAGTTCCTCTTTACTGAAGAGGAAAGTGGAGTAATCAGTTCAAGTGTTATTCAGGAGGAAATACTTTGTGAAGTATTTTAGAAGGAAGTATCATGTAAATGATGCATAACTTTTTATGAATTGGGCTCACAGCATGTAGGCCAGATGCCAGGCTGCTAGAGTGAAGCAGTAATGGGAATTCAGAAGTTGTTTGTGACTGAAAACAATGGAACAAACAGTAAAAGACTTTCATCTCAATTAAATCCAGTCCTGAGGCATAGATGTTAATTTAACAGGCTCCAAGACACCATTTATATATCCTGGTAATTTTAGTTCCCCGTTTGTCATTAAGGAAGCAATTACTAGCTTTATGTAGAAAACTTCACACAAGTGACATAACTGTTAAGGAAAAAGTTGCTTAACTTCTAACTTGAACCATTTTTGGCTGTTTGTTTCAGTGGTTTTGGCATAACTTTAAAAAAAGGTCACTGATTTTGGCTGAGTTTTGCAGTGTAAAAACTAATTAAGTACTCTTTTAAAAATTTTCCATGTGCCATAGGCTTGTGAAATCTAATCTAGGACAGCCTTAATTAAAGTGTCAAATATTTGTGCACAGTTGAACATATGTCTTCAAAAAAGTAATGAAACCTTTTCCTAAATCATTTTCTAAATGATTAAGACAATTCTCTTTGATTTTGATAATCAAAGTGCTCCAAGCAATTCTAGCAATTTTGACTACCAAGCCAATTTTTGTTTGCCCATTGAAGTAGGAATCTTAAGAGCACTGTTTGCCTTAACGCACCTTTTTCTGCTTTTTGCCAAAGGTCACGCTCTTAAACCACAAGTTGCTTCCATTTTTACATCATTTTTGGATGGACTGAAAAAATTCTACATCACAAAGGTAATTTGGGGGTTTAATACTGTTTCAAACTTTGCATGCTGTTCATAAAATTCAAGATTTTTTGCCTAACTGCTTCTAATGCAGCTGAGTTTGTTGTATCTGATACTGCAATGTGAGATATATTAACTTGACGTTCTAAAGGTGGTTTAATTCAAACTGAGATTATCTGTTTGAGGAGTTATTACATGAGAGCTGTTGTCACTGGTCATACCTGTACCTGAGATTAGTGTGCCTTTGTTTGGCAGAAAATCGGTGACAGCGGGAGACTGGAACCAATTTATCCAGCTTGTAGACCAGTGATCATCAGTTCATACTGATGAAGTGGGGCTAGCACTATAGTTTATTTTTCACTTCACAGGTTTTGTCAAGACATGATCTACCATGTTATTACAGTGAAACTAGAATTTTTGAAGAATCTCAAGATATTTGTCTTGATTTGCCCATATCGACTGGCTTTTTGTCTTTCTGGAATTCATCCCTTTTTAACCTAGAATTTGGTACTAAAATACCACTTAGGCTTTTGTATTAAATAATTTGTCTTAATGTTGAGTTTTCCTCCAAATTAGCTAACTAGAGAGTTCCTACAAATATGGGTATTCAAATGTAGAAAATTGCATTATCATGGATAAGAGGAGGTAAACATTCCATTCATATAACACGAACAGATATGCATATGAAGCGATATGATAATACCAAGTGTCTTCAAAGAGTGGGCTCTACTTTTGAAATACAGTGGCTAGTGTTGATTCTGCAGCTTTTTCTTGGACTACTGAAGTGGGAAATAACACGTGTCTTGGGACTTCTGTTGTTAGGGAATACCTATTAGGTTTTGAGATGGCCCAGAAATTTTGCCTTCCACCCTGACCTACTGTAGTGCAGGAATGTCTTAAGTAGTAAAGGTTTTGGCAGCAAGATTGTTGTCAGGTTGAAGCAATCCTAAGCCGGCAGTATCTACTGCTTCTGCAGTCAGCAACAAACATCACTGCTTCTTGGGATATTGTATCACAAAGGGATGTTGTATGCCAATTACAATTCTTTCAGCTCAGTAGGAGAAAAAAAACTGTGAAGCAACAAGAGAAATGCTGTGTAATACTGATGCATAGATCCCAGGCTGGTGACCAATCCTTGGCTCTTATGTTAGGGCTCACTCCCCTGGTGCATATGAGCAACTGCTGCTTCAGAGAAATTCCCAGCTGGGTTGGGAGGTAGGAGTAGACAAAAGGAATAATTTCAATGATCCTGAGACTGCTATTGCAGGTGTTATTGGGACCAATATGCTGAAATCCATCTTATACCTTATTTCATCTGTGAATTTGGGAATGTTCACTGATAGAAGAATGCTAGGTATTGCTAGGAACTGTAGTTCCTCCAGTGCCTCTTAAAGGCAACTATAAGGTGTTAACTGAGCATTACAGCCAAAAGATGGAAGAATAGATGAAAGGATTCATACAAAATGAAATACAAGTGGTTCTAGGACAAGAGGGGACTGTAGATAGCATCTTAAATTCCAAGGACAGAAATAAAGGTCTATTATCATTGTAGTAAAAGTATTTCTTTCTGTTCGTTAGCCATGCTGTTTTTGTAGGACTAGTGGGTAAGACAGATCCTTTGCCTGGTGAGGTATATGCAGCTTTGCAGCAGTTTTCATGATTTTTTATTGGGGTAGTGGGATTTTCTGTGGCACGTGGCTGATACAACTATTTTTAGAGCTGTGACATTTATGGTGGTCATAGTCATCTTCCTGCTTTAATACATAAATAGTTGATAGAATATAAATGTCTCTATTGCTCAAAGCTGTTTTTTCTACAGCATAGGTAGACAGCTGTTATGTCTATCCTGCTTTTTAACAGGAGGAAAAAGGTGACAGATAATTTCTGTTATTTCAGTTGACTTGTGTCCTGTAAAGGAAAAACTTAAATGTTTTGGGAGTAAATTTTTGAAAGATGATTTTTTTTTCCCTAATCTTTCCTCTTTGTTGCAGCAAGACTTACTGGCCAGGGCACGTGCCATGTATTTGAAATTAAAAACCTGTTGCTTGTATTCTACCACACAGACTATGAATAATGTAAAGTTTGTCTCTCTTTGCAGTTTAAAGGATTTGATCCCAACATACTGTGTGTAGCTACCTTGCTCTTTGAGGGTGACAGAGAGAAGGTTCTTCAACATGAAAAGCAAGTCTATGATATTGCCACCAAGTTTGGGTATGCTTTTCAAAGAACTTTTTCGGTGTGAAGCTGGGAATTAACTATCCAGGAAGAAATAAGTGTACTATATTTTTGTAGTGATTACTGTATGGATATGTTCTCAGTTTACTAGTTTGAAGTGGCAGCAATCAATTAGCTATTGAATGTTCTCTTTGATAAATAAGGCTTGCAGTAACTCTTAGGGTAACTTTACTGAAAAACTTCAGCTCTCTGTGTATTGCAGTACAATATTTTACTAAATATAGAATTGATGTTATTAAAATGGAAACTAGCCCTTTTAATTGCTTAGTGGCATGGAAGTGGCTTGTTTTGCAATACTAGACTCTACATTTTGACTGCAGAAGGGGGAGGCAAAATCATAAGGGTAATATTAAATTTTTGCAGAATTGATGTGAGCATATGAATACAAGAAGCTTGTTTGGTTAAAGGAGTGCAGTGACTTTCTGTCCCATAGGCTATGTCCTTACAAAGGAACAGAAAACACTCACTGAAGTGGCAGGCTGAGTAGTGATCAGGTAGTTTCTTTCCTTCTGCTTCGATTAAGCATGATTGATGAAAGCCATCATCAAAAGTGTGATTTGTCAAGAATGTACTTTTTATTTTTAAGAAAGTTTTTGCTAATATTGGTCTCAGCTATACAAATGTACCTATAAGTATTGTTTTATCCATTTCAAGGCTATCCTTTCTGAAATTTGTGTTTTCATTGTGCTTTCTTTCTATCACTTCAACCATGAATCCTTTTGTATTTTGGTGTTTCAAGATGATGGTGTATTGATAAGGGATGCTTGTCTGTATTAGATCTGTTAGAAGATGGCGCTGTCTGTGCTGCTTAGTTAAGGCTATTAGTTAAGTGTTTAATGGTTTAACCTGTTTTAAAATACTTAAACCATTTAATGCTTTTATAGTCTAATGTGTCTATCCTTCTTCAGGATGTTCTGTCCTTCTGGATGTCTGATTTCCCACACACACACCTTTCTGGGATTTATGGGAGCTTCTAGAAAGACTGATTAAGATACATAGCACTTTCTTATTCTTAGAAACCAATAGTTAAAAACAAAGGCTTTCATAATGATCCTTGATAGACTAGTGAAAGCAAGGCTTCCCTTTTCTTTAGTGCTATGGCTTTTGTGTTTGGGGTTTTTTTTTAATTCATTCACATCTCTTACACTTTTGGGATCTTAAGTCAGGAGTATTGCTCTCATGACCTGGGAGCATACAAGTGCACAAATTCAACATGCTTAGAAATGTAGTTACACATGTTCCTGTAAATTAATATCCTGGATATACTATGTCAGCTTGTGTTTCTCTGCTCTTTTGTGAGTTTTGAAGACTGTTATTTTAAGATCACATCAAATGTTTTGTTATGTTCATCTTTCTTCTGGTTATTGAATGAAAAGACAAATGCAAACCGTTAAAAGTCTGGTCTGAAGTAAGTTGTTTTTTTTTAGTGAAGAGACCGTACTATTTTCAACTATTGTAACACATCTTAGGCAGCTAAACTAGCAGAAATGTTTAATAATCAAAGTTATTTTACAAATATTTTTGTAAATTGGTGACTACTTTGCTGGAAATTTAATTAAATTCTTGTAAATTACAGTGGCTTGGCAGCAGGAGAAGATAATGGACAGAGAGGATACATGCTGACATTTGTCATCGCATACCTTCGGGTAGGTCAGCTTTTGTTTGTCTGCTGAAACTTCTGTTAATTAATATAACAAAATATAGAGATGTCTTTTTGAAGATGCTTTCTTTGAAATCAAAGTGCAGGTTGCCTTGGATGATATCTCAGACTTCTCCTAGAGATTGTATCTCTTCCATTTCTGACTAGTGATTATTCATGGAACTTCATCTGCAAAATACCATAAAGACATTAATTTATATTCTTGTTAAAGAAATAGTTTCTCATAACGGATTGAGAAAATTAGATTGAAGATCCACAGGTTGAATGGAATCAGTCTTGGAGAGTACTTGAAATACTCATATGCTCACTTGGCTTTTTACTCTTAGGAGATCTGCTTATGACTGTGGTTTGAATCAGAATTCCAACATAATGGACCTTCTGTCTAAACTGCTGCAGCTGTTCTTATGAATTTTAGTCTTACTATTTGAGATTTTTTTATTTTTCAGAATAATATGCATATCCCAATTGTTTGATTTTATTTGTCTTTTATAGTCAGGGACAAATCACTGAATTTCCCTCTATTGCAGCAGGCTGTATGTAAAATGGGAAGATATTCATCTTTATTCTACCTAGATAGTAACTACATTCTAAATAAATATTTCTACTAGGTGTTATGATGGTTAGCACAGTGAAGCTCTTGGCTTGATACTATAGTTATACAAGTATTTCATTAGTGTAGACATACTGACAGTCTGACAAGTTGTCTCACTGTAGCCTTGACATCAAATATTTGTTGTCTTTGTCTTTAAAGAGCTTCCCTATTTCCATAATAATAAACTTATGTCTCTGGGACAGATGGGTGGTTTTGCTAAATTAGGATTTCTTTTTTTCTCATAGAAACTAAAAAGTTGTTCAGTTGTTAGCTGTGTAGCATACACTGAATGTTGATGCTGAATGTTACTGATAATTTCCTCACTCTGTTTATTAGGACTTGGGCCTGGATTACTATGTAATAGGAGAATCATTTGAGACATCTGTTCCTTGGGATAGGTAAACTGTGATTACTCTTTAGAATTTCTTAAAACTTGATTTCATTCAAATTATTCCTAACTCATGTTTGCTCATGGGGATACTTAGTTTAGGCCTTGTGTCTATTTAATGCTCCCTGATGTGCACCTCTGTGTCCTTGCTAAAGTTGCTAGTAAATTACCTATCAGGATTTTGTAAATGCAATGTGTCAAGCATTCAATAATATTTCTACATAGGTTAGCTTATTGTAACAAATTTAGAACTTGAAATTGCACATTGAATTTACCAATTGAAATTGCAATTGGTGACAATAACTGCAGTGGGTGATGAGCAGCCATGTGTGTGGGATCAGCTGCATATTTCAAAGAGAGAAGTCTGTAGTGTAGATAATAAAAAACTTTTAAGTGTATTTAAATAAGTTTTTTCTTTCTCCAGTAATGTAGGGAAATGAAAACTGAAAAGATAACTTTTGCCCAAGATTAAGATCCTTTTCCTAAGCTTATTTCATGTGTTAGCTGTGGTTGAGAAACATTTGACTGCAACAGAGTTTAATATACAAAACCAGTTTGGATGCTTCTGTCCATTTGGTAAACCGGAAGTCTCTTAAGCAGGGTCTAAGGTGATTTGAATCAAAGCTTTACAGCATTCAGTGCAAAGTCTGATGACTTAAACTGGCAAGCTTGTATCCTTGCTGTTGAATTTAGTGGCAGTGATAAATTCCAGACCCTGTTTGAAAATTGGCAGAGTTATATTAAGTGAGTGGAAGAAGTTTGAAGGTAATTTTAAAGCAAAAGTGCTCTTCATTTTAGTTTAGCTTTATAGATTTTGAAGCATGCTAACTGCTTAGTCACCAATTTGTTTTGCGTCTCCCTCGTTTCAGGAGAGAACTAATTTTTATCTAAAATGTAAGAAAATATTTAAAATTATCCTCACCAAAGGAAATGCTTTGAAAACCTTTCTCTACTTTGACTCATAAGAATCATGTAACTTTCCATAAACTGATTAACTTGTTCCTTACAGATAGCAGATATTTGAATAAAATGTTTAGCTGACTTGCTTATTCATTAAATAGTTTAAGTTTCTCTTGTATTCTGTTAATCTTTAAAGTAGTTTTAAATCTGTGTAAAATGTCTTAATCTGAATTGTACAGTATAGCACTACAGACCTTTGTGGGAGAGCATATTACTGAAGAAATGGTTATTTGAAAAACAGGGATTTCTTTTAGTTGCATCTTTGGTTGTACCTGGGTCTGTCCTAGAAGATTTAAAAGAAAAAAACCAGAACAAGTATGGCTTATGACAAGGTTTAATCGCTCATTGCCATATTAGAATTGTAACATTTCAAGCTGGCAGACTAGTGTACAGCTGAAGAAGAATCTCCAGGTTTGGCCTTGCAGCATTAAAAGGCTTCTGAGTTCTCGAGTTTTCTACTGTATTTGTCTACTACTTTGCCAAAAATTTGAGGCTATTTTGCTAAGAAACTTAGTAAAAACGTACAGAATTAGGTAACCTCCTTTTTTCTGAACACTTTTACCACCTCTTCATTATGAAAAAGAGCTTTTAAGTACTCTGTTTCAAAGTAAACTTGCTCTTCAGAAGTGCAGAAAAAGCAGTACCAGTGGTCTTCATGAGGACTATTCTTAGAACAGAGCTAGTTCACTCTGACTTTAGATTTAGTCTTATGTTGTCTTAGATTATGATTTTTAAAAGATTGCTGAGGTTCTTTTTTCTAGAAGTTGTATAAAATCACATATTAAAATTTTATGTTTTAATGTGTTTCCTGTTACAGGGTTTTGGACCTTTGTAGAAATGTAAAGGAAAGGATAGTAAGAGAATGCAAAGAAAAGGGTGTTCAGTTTGCTCCTCTTTCCACCTGTAGGTAAGCCAACAATCTCAACAATTTTTCTTGAATCTTTGATTAGTAAGAGAACTAAGGAAGAGGTCATTAAACTTGCTAGCTAGCAGGTAAAGTAGATCCAGTAATGATACTACAAATATTAGTAATTTTGACCTTCCTCTTGAAACTGCAAGTGGATTACATGTAAGAGTGGGGAATTCAAGTGATTAGTAGCACTTGATTAAACTTTTGCTTATATGTACAAGAGCCAAGTGTAATGACTTAACAGCGTCAGCTTTCAAAGTCTTAGCATTGAGTTGCTCATGAATTATGACCAAAAAGGGTAAAAATGTTAAAAAAAAAAAAAAAGATGCTACCCTTTTGAATAAGATAAGTAACCTGATGAATTGTGTAATGTCACATAGTGGTTGGCTTGATATCGTGAAGTTTTGTTTGTAATACAGTTTTCTTCAACAGGGTGACACAGACTTATGATGCAGGTGCATGTGTCTACTTCTACTTTGCCTTTAACTACAGAGGAATTAGTGATCCTATTCATGTCTATGAACAAATTGAGGTAATGTATAAAAGAGCAGTAGTTACAGGAGAGAAGCTGATGTCCTGTAATATATGCTGAACCAATTGGCCAAGCTAACGGAATTTTGCAGGAGAGAGCTCAAAAGCCTGTTCATAAAGCTTTGATCATTAGCAGCTAGGAAAAGAGGTATAGTACATCAAGTAGAGAAAAGACTACCAAGTGACTATTTTAGGCATCAGTAGATGAATACTTCTGACTGAAGTATAGGAAAGCTTGACCTGGAGTTTCTTGCATGACAGAAACTTTAAACCTTAAAACCCCAATCCATGGGAACCTAGTATTTACAAAACTACTTCTTTTTCTTAATACTCAGTCTGTAAAATGAGTGGTAAAACTTACCACGATCATACTTTATTAATAGTGCTGCATGTAGAGCATAATGAAATGGGGGTGTCTGATGCTATTTTTGTTAGGCCGAGATAAGTGCTGGTCTAAGTTTGGTGCATTAGACCAGTTGTAAGCTGCTTGAACATTCCAAAGAGCTCTGGAATAACTCCTCTTGACACTTTGGCTGATGAAACGTTATACTTACCTAGTTGGGGGAAACTGGTATCCTTGTTAGCTTGAAGATGTAAATTCTTAGAAGGACTATGGCCAAACTGCTTTTTGTCCTATTTTCTGTTTCGAATGCTCAAACTTCAACACCAGAAAATTGCTAATAGGACTGTGGAGAAATAGTCAATATTTTTAACTATGGAGAAATAGTCAATATTTATAACTAGGATATAATTCTTCTCATGCTTATTCTTTAGAAATTTCTCTTGAATTTGGCAAGCAAAGTTTTATCTACAAGTTCTGAGGCTCCTATGCTGTTGCGTGTAGGTCACTGAAAAATGTAATACTTGAGTGCTTATTTAATGAAACTTTACTAATACCTAGATACTACTTTTTATTGGAATTAGTTAGCAGTGTGATTACCTGGATGCATGTCTTCCATTATAGTAACTAAATTTAACCTAACAAAATGAGTTTGTTGACCAAGTATATGTGTTCTATGGCAGACTGAAAAAATCTCTAACTGCATATGTGCAGTTATATATGTTATTCCTAAAAAAGTACACTTATTTTGAAAAAACATGTAGTGCTTGTGCTTAGAAAGGCTTTCGTTGTTACAGCTTCTGATCTCTCTAACCATTCACAATCAGAGGTGGATGGCAAAGAAGATTCTAGAACTCTAAAGTGTTTGTATAATTCTTACAATAAAAAACTAAATTTTGTTTTCTGCCGTAAACTACACCCATGAAAGGGTTGTCGTTTTTAAAGTACCTTACTGCCTCAACCAGAATCTTGGAGATCTGGGTTTAAACACTGATCTGAATAAGGATCTTGAATCATTCTGGTGTGTTTTCAGGCTTCTTTGCTTTCAAATGAGCATCCCAGCCACTGGACTACTTTAGTTTTAGCAAAGAATATTCTATTTGGGAGTAATATATTTGTTGTAAGTGATGCAACTTGAGATATTGTGGCTTTGATAACGTGTATTTAGAAAATTCTTACTTACATTTATCTGCAGACTTGATGTTTGCCTGTATTGTGTGCCCTAATTACTTCTGAGACTTTCCATACACCTGTGTGTCTGACTGCAATAGCAAGCATTTCAGAAAATCAAAAAAATTTTGTGCATTTTCTGTTGAATAAATACCATATCTTTCATATTTAGAGGGCTGCTAGAGAAGAAATACTTGCCAATGGAGGAAGTCTTTCACATCACCATGGAGGTAATATTCTCAGTCTAATATTAGTTTCCTTTATATTGCTAAATATCCATGACTACGTAAAATAGTTTATAGTAGAACTTTGAAAAATATCTCACAAGCATTAAGTGAAATCACTGGGGAAGGGTCAAGGGGGAAGGACATCTCTTGGGATTCTTTCTAGAAACTTCTCACTCCTTTGCTGGTTTGATCAGTTTGTCTTAAGCAACTTCTGTTTATCTTTGTGCAGATATATATTCAGTTATAAAGACTTTCAAGTGGGAGTTCCACAGTTTTAAGACAGTTTAGAGTCCCTTGTGGCTCAGTGAATGCTGTTAGCCCAAATTCCAGAGCACTTAGGCAAACTATCTGCATAAAGAGCTAGTGACTTTAAACTGGGCTATGTTGCAATCGAACATTGTTGCATAATTGATGTTATGTAAGTGTTGATATTACTGGCTTGTTGTCTGATAAGTTCTAGTTATTCAGTTTCTTCTTGTGGAGTTTGGGGATTACTTGTCCTGTGTTGCTAACATCTTCACAAGGTATTTTGTGCTTCAATATTAAGAATCAAAGTCATGTATAAGTGATACTTCATGTACTTGATGCTTTACATATGCTTTTCCCACAAAGTTTGATAGCCTAATTTGACTATATGTGTCCTTTCTAATGCTGTAACCTTGGATGTCAGGAAGACTTGTTGTGACGTCAGTTTGATTTGTGCCCCTAGCTTCTTGAAACTGGTTAACTTGCTGTGTTTCTTCTCTCTGTTCTCTTGGGGTATTGCCTGGCCACAGATGTAAGAGCAAAGAGGAAGTGTATGGTTTAAAACTAGACAAAACCTTTGTAATTCTCAAAGCTCTCTGTGGGGAAAAGTATGAAGGGCAGAAACTGTGCTTTAAAACATGTTGCTGACTTCCTAGACTTGAAACTTTTAGGTGTGGCTGTTTTCAGGCATCTTGCTTTGTGATAGAAACACACAAAGAAGTCTGACTTAGCAGTATCAGGATGTGTAGGTGATAACATGAGTGGAAACAGTTTCAGTATTTTTTGTTTGATATGCTCTTATTGTCCTCTGATTAAACCTTTAATATGGTGGTGTAGTGGACCTGTCAGTTCTTGCACATGTGATGTGGAATTACCCACTTGATGTGCTATTGTGCTCTCCCTGCTGTGGCAGCTGTATTTTACTGTGACTAGCATTTCATCCACTAACTCACATGCAGCTGGAGCTTGTCAAACATTTGGATGTATTTGCACTCAATGTATAAAACCTTGCTTACAGCATGTGTTGAACAAGAAAAAAAAATACTATGTAGCATTTTCAAATTCTTGCACACTTGAACTTTGTAACTTCACAGATATGGAAAACTGGATTTCTGTTCAACTTCTTCTGCTCCTGCTGTATGCATGACTGCCTCTGATACTGATAAGTATTTTCTGCCTTGAATGTTTTTGTCTGGCAGTTCATTGTGTACAATATTCAAGATTAAGTTTTTCCAATGCTTAGTAGATGTGGTGCTGAGAATTAGCCTCATAGTATCAGTTTTATTTACTGACCTTGTCACTCCTAGCACTAAGACTGGTCTATTGTGTGGGGTATAAGAAAATACTGGTGCAATTCCTTTTGGTATTTATCTTGTAATTGTGATTAATAACAGTTGTTTTCACTATCTGGAAACAGACAGGCTGGTTTGTCTGCCTACAATCATACTGTGATAAATGGAGCTATTTTAGCTCTGGGTTTGTGTATCGAAGAAAACAGATGTAGTCTGGGACTTGAGGCTATGGGAAATACAAAGCCTGCTTACGACAGTCTTCATATACTCCTTTAGTGAAGAAGTGGCCATATATGACAGTCTGGGTGGTGTAAAGCTCTACATTACTTTACCTCTGGGGAAGGACGAGCTACAGGGTAGACATGTGGCTACAATCCACAGCTGAGTACTGAAATCATGATAGTCTTAACTTTACAAAGAGTAGCTTCAGAAGGACTTAACTTTGGAAATATCTTCCTTCCTCCCCATTTTGGTTTTCACCTTACCTTGCCTATGTCCTACACTTAGAAAGGGATAGTGGACATTTTCAAGCACAGCTTTGATCCTTCTGCCTTTCTGGACACTGCACATCTTCAGATTTGAGTCATGTAAGTAAGGGCTGCTAGAGAGCCACGGTTAGTGTTTAGAAACATAGCATTTAAAAAGCACCACTAGGAATGATAATTTCTTGTAGATACGAGTTTAACTATAGATAAATAATTACTCCAACCATTTATGGCAAGCCCTAAAACCACCCATATGATGTCACACCTTTCATTCTTGAATTCTTGTTTCATTAAACATGCCTAGTTTTGTATGTGTGAAATAACATGTGCTGAGTAGGTATGACTGGTATATAAACACAACTATAACCCCTTTGGGGTACAGCACCAGAAGGAAGACGGTTGCATTTGGACCCAATCCCTTTCATATTACCAAGCTAAGGACCCGTGTAAAACTAAAGAACAGGGTAAAAATTAATGATACATTGATTCCCTTTCAGGGACTGTGTTAATTAAAAGTGGTAACTTAAGGAAACAATTATCAGACTGTGGGGTGGAGGAAAATAGCCCCATTTAGCCACTTAACATAATAGAACTAATTTTCTCCTCCTTTCCGGACAGATTGACTAGAGTAAAGGTTAACCATGTAGCCCATGCTGCATAGGTTTAGCTATAGTATCAATGGCAGTTTATACAGGGGGACAAAAAAAAAGGAAAAAAAACCCACACCCCAAAAAACCCCCAATGAAATCCAAACAGACCCAAAAAAACCTGAAAAGAAAACAAAGGGAAAACCAAACAACCCTACACCTTATTTGCATTCAGGTGCATGTTTGACACTGCAGTTCTTTGGCATCAGTAAGAAGCTGTGGCTTAAGTTATACACTGCAGTAACTAACCCACACAAACTACAAAATCTGAAATTAGAAAATTCCTTTTTGGGGGGGAGTTGAACACATTCTTTTCTAAACAGGAAAAGTATTTCTACCCTTAGGTTAGGCACTGCAGACTGATCATGCTAGAGCTTGCTAGCATTAGAATTAGTTGAAACTGTGACATTTGTTAGACATGGAGTAACTTTATGTGAAATAATATAATAACACAGTTGTATTTTTCTCCTTGGTCTGTTGAAAGTCTTAATAGAATAGTCATCTTCAGTGCCTTTAAAAAAAAAAAAAAAAAAAAAAAAAAAAAAAAAAGCAAAGGACTTCCTGACTCATCAACACAGAACTTGAAAGTATTTAAACTAAGATACCAAGCAAAAATGTGCAAGATGATGTGCTGATGGTGTTACTGATACAGTAGACTTGATGTACACTGGTCCAGTATAATCCAGTGCTACCATGCATTAGATTAGTGCACTGACCTTTCTCAGTACTGCAGAGTTCTCCCTGGAAGAGTAATAACGTGTTAATTTCTAAGAGCAGAGAGCTGTTTCCTGTAGAGACTACTAGCTTCAGGAAGAGCATGCAACAGCTGGAGAGCCCCATCCTTCTTAGGACCTGTCACTGCTGCTCCTTTTGCAAAGCTATTGTTATGCAGTAACTGCCTCATCAAGTTGAAAGGGCTGGAGCAGAGGAAGTCTAGAGCCAAGTGCAGTGCCACTAGAGCCTATTTCCACTGGGACCACATGATGCTATAAATTTATACTCTGCATAGGTGTAGACTTATTCCTGGACTCAGTCAGCTACATGAAAACTTTCCTTACAAGACTGTTCATGTGTGCCCTAGTACTTCATATTCCAAAAATGAGAAAAACAATTGCTGCCTGCTCTTTGCTACCTCCATTTTTAGCAGCCAGACTTTTGTAGCCATCCAGATGCATTTTTGAAAATGATCAAGTGAAAAGGGCAATGGAAGCTTGAACAACTTTGCCAGTGAAACCAGCTAAGGGCTGGACCGGCATGTATCAGAACTGGGAAAAAGTTACTTAGCCAGTTCACGTGTTTCTCTTTCATACATGGACTAGAATGATAGGTAAAACTTAAAAATAAAATTGGTGTTGGACTGTCTAGAGTTGCTACTGAACAAGCTTCTTGGCTTTCTGATCCAAAGTACCTCATCTGTGTAGAGCCTTTCATTCTCTTGGTCTACTTTCCGTTTTATCAGATGGACCAGCTTAGAGTTCTGAGAGGTTGCTTCAATGCTTTTTAACTCTAATATGAAAACTTGAGTAGTTGAAAAATCCGTGTATATCTTATTGGCATGAACAGTAGGAGCAGAGGATCAACTTTTCTGTTATAAAGGGTTAAAATCTTTGCGTTGAGCATGTTTGTGAAGGACTGCTGGTAACTGTAGTACAGCTTTTTTTCTTTCCAGTTCACTAATCAGATGTATGTTAGATTTATTATCTCAAAAGTATAAACCATAGAAAATTTGACAAGATAGATGTGTAAATTATCACTTTGACAGAACTAATGATGCACTCCAAGCACCTTCTGTTTTCCAACACTCGGTGAGCGACTTCATTAAATATGCAACGACTGTTTGGTGCTGCTCAGACAGTAGTTCAGTTCCTTGTGGAATTACATTATTACTGGAGGTGTAAAAGAGGCAGGCATGCTAGCTGTTGGGTATCCTGCTGTGATTCTAATGTGCTCCATCTTGATGGAGCAGTTGTTTGCAGTCTTTTCAGGACAATTACATCCATAACCACAGAACACATTCACTGAAACTATATTACAGATAACAGTTGAGAATAGTAATGACTGTTCTTCAGCTGCTTGTGTAAGAGCCAGTGTGAGTGACTTAAGGTGATGGTCAAGCCACATCCATGATTTGGGTTTTTTTGTAGAAGTATTAAAGTTTTCCGAGGAAAAATTCAACCACATCAGCTCGCTCAGGCGGTCACATTGTAGTGATAGTATATTTACAGATGGGGATTTTTTCCTGAACTGGGTCCACAAAATATAGCACAGTTCCTAGCACATAACAAATATAGCAAGTAACAAATTCTTTTGTCCTTCAGTTATGGTCTTTGCTCTTGACACACATGCTGCTGATAGTTGTTTTCTAGCAAAGTGCACATTTCATTCTGTCTCACATTATTTGCTTTTTCTGTTGGCATTGTGACTGGCTCATATTCCTTAAGGTATAAACAAATATACTCTGTTCTCCAGAGGTGTCCCTGTAATTTATTATTCTGATGACAGTTTGATGGTTACCCTGAAAACAGGGCACAAAAGATGGCTTGAATTTAGCTTCAGATACTCTTAAAGCCTCTGTCTCTCAAACCTTTACTATATTGTATCATACTGACAAATGAATTGTGTTTCAGGCTGACAAGTTAAATGCTAGACTGTGTTTAATGAAAAAATGTCTTTAGTTTTGAATGATCTGCTAATCAGAGTTGACGATTTTGTTAATTAGCATGTGAACACTCGGCTATTTAACAGGACTATTGTGAGAATTCAGTGAAAGGAGTTCTTAAAAGATTGTTTCAGCTTTGCTTTTTATTTGTTATAGGTAGTGAATATTTTTACATGAAAAACTAAGCTCTTGTGTAATGGTATTGAGCAATTACCAGCCAGCACAGAAGTTTTTGAATTAAATATTAAGCCTTCTTTGTAGGAAACGATTTTTTGCTATTTAAACCTATACTGGTTTAAGCTTGATTATTGAGTTTTGTTTTCAGTTTAAAGAGATCAAGAAATGCAGGGTTCTGCTTTTTAGTAATCTCCTCTACAGTTTCCTAGTTAAAATTAGTTTGTGGCTTTTTAAAACTTATACTGATTCCCTGTCTTAATAGAACATGTGATTGCAGCCTAAGCTTCATCTAAATTTCATGGTTTCTAAAGAAAGTAGACTGTGGAACACAGTCTTCCTCTGGGAGTATGCTGAGCTTAATGAGCTTGATAGTCTGGTGGGCTCAATAAATCAAATAAAGCAAAACATTTCTCATTTTTGAATAAAAGCATTTATCACACAGTGTTTATTCATTCATGTTTGCAAGATTGATTGGCTCCTCGAATCCTGCCATATATTGAAACACTTTGTTTTTGTTTTTCCAGTAGGCAAATTGCGGAAGCGCTGGATGAAGGAGAGCATCTCTGATGTTGGCTTGGGAATGCTGAGATCTGTTAAAGAATATGTGGACCCCAATAATATCTTTGGAAACAAAAATCTTTTATAAAGCCCTGCACAAATGATGTACTAAAAATTAAAAATTACTGTTCAAATTCCTCCACTTTCATTGTATTGATATCCCAGTAATCAAATATAACATAGATTAAACTTTAAAAACTAGTAACTTACATTGATTTTTTGCTACTCCCTTCCCCCTCCCCCCAATAAAGTGTAAACATCACTGTTAATGTTTATGGACTTTTACTTACAATGCTCTTAAACAACCCACTGGGCACAAGTACCAACCAGGAAATGCAAATTTGTTTTCCAAGTTTGGTGTAACACAGCTGACAGTATTTTCAATGCTGGATACTGCCAGATGTTTCTTACTTAAAGAATCCCCTGCAAGGAGGACAAAGACTGACAACTGTGTTTTCTACAGAAGCAGCTGCTCAACCCAGCCTCTTGCTAAAGGAAAGCTGCTAAGAGACAGATGAGAGAACACCAAGGAGTACCTCACTGTACTGAAGGATTAAGTATGTAACAGACTTGTAACCAGCAAATACTTAGAGTACAAATGTAGGCTTTGATCAAAAGAAACAGTGTAAGTCAAATTACTAAAAACTCAGTAGTCTCTCACTGCAGTACTACTTGAAAATTATACACAATTGAACTGTTCTGAGTTGTATTTGCATTGCTGGGATAATCTTAAATTAACTGTAGGTCAGTCACTAAGTTTTGTACAATGGACATTTCTCACTGTATGTTGAAAACAGGTTTGTAACAAAATTTTGCGTTCATCTGTACTTCAGTCCTAGTGTGTATGGTTTTTGATCCTGTTTTGTTTGTTTTGCACAGATGCAAAATATCTTTATCAGCTAAAAAAAAGTTTTGGCTATTCAAATGAAACTGCCCAGCACTGTCTTTTGAAACAGTCTCAACAGTTTAATAAAACACTTAAGTGGACAACCTAATGTTATCCTGGAAGTGAGATTTCCCATTTAAGTTTTGTACAGTTTCCTATGGCCTTTATGAATCATTTATTTACTTCACAAGTAGCAACAATTTTAATTGTCCATTGAACTTTATGAAAATTAAATATTTTCTTGATCAGTATCATGTGAGAGTAAGCATTTTTACATTGAAACTTGAATATTAATCAGTAAAATAAACTAAAAGAATTTGTCAGTACTCATGATCCATTTTTAAGGTGGGTTCTTTCTTAAAGCAAATTATCCAACTTTTTGATAATTAATGTAAATGCATAAGATAGAAGAAATACAGACTATCCTTTGAGGACACTGTTTCTCTAGCCAAGTGCTTCACAGCTCTGTAGTGTCAGTTTGGACACCTTTTGTATTGGTAGTGCCCTTAATGAGGAGAAAAAGATAAATTGCATTTTTGTTTTTAAACTATTTTAGAATACTGTCTAATTAGCTCTCAGTTTTGGTAATATACCAAAAAGAGTTTAAAGTGCTTGAAAAAATACTGCATACCAGACAACTCTGAACTTGTTTAAAGACTAATTTCAATGCTATAATTAAAACTACTGAAAAACATGAACACTCAAATCATCACTTTAAAAATGCATGCTGTCAAGGTATTTAAACTTTTTTATGATCTGCAGGTCATAAGGCAGAACGTTCATGTGATACTTGCAATGCAGCTACATTTATTTGGAATGCTCTTTGTCTCACAATATTTCAGCATAAAAATGTATTATTTTTTCTCTCCCCCAGAGTTCATATTTCAGCAGTAACCAAAACAATGGGTGTAGTCTCTTTTAGGAAACTGAGCCTTCACACTGTGGTTAAGTGTTCCTTAAGTAAACAAAGGTGTCTCAGCAAAGTGAATCTGCACATTTTTGTGCAGGGCACTCCCTCATCTCACCTGCTGCATGGTGGTGACCACAGGGCCACAGCTGGTGTCTTGCTGATGACTTGTATCTCTCTGAAGTGGAGACCTTTCTAGGAGTTGGTAAATATGAAGGGTGTTTATGTGCCTCAGTGAAAGTTTAGGTCTAACTATGAAGAATTAATTTTGAAGGAAAGTATGTGAAGCTTTTTTGTAGAATGACAGCACAAAGAGAATTAGAACAAGTACTCATAGCATAGTTAATACTGGTCTCTTAAGATTTTGACTAAAGTACAACACAGCTCTACAACATCCTTTCCATTTTTTAATTTTCTCACTATGGTTTGCTCATCCCTTTTTTTATGTTGAATGTACACAGGTAAAAACTCCTTATACTCTCTAACCTTTAAATAGCCACGACTTCTGAAGTGATTTAAAACGTAAAGATTTTTACTGTATGTCAATTGTCATATGGGAAAGTGAAATAACAGGCTATAAGGGTCCCAAAGCACTGTCACTGGATAGCTCTGAGGAAAAGATTAAGTATGAATGTAATGGATATTTTTTTCTACTGGCTCCCCTATTACTGTCTTCCTAAGTATTTCTCTGTCTTACGAACCAGTCAGAGCTTAGTGAAACTACAGTTGAAACATATGTATTACTGTCTTTAACTTCACTTCTAAATTCCTAGTGAGAGCAGAAAAAAATGTAATGCAATTTCAGAAGACCTAGATATACACAGATCATTCACCATTTACATGAAATCCTGCTTTCTCTGATACTACAGTTTTCCACCACTCTTCTTTCTGTATCTCTACTTTCTTCCTACAGACTTCACTTCCCGTAGCTGCAGCCTGTTCAGAGATGGAGTTTGATCCGTGCAGATCAGAGGTGTCGATGCCTAACACATGACTTTTGTATTTGCTTGATTATTTTGGCCATATTTAAGTTACAAGCGGTTTTAATTAAACTTGTAATTACTTCCAATTACATAGCTTCTTCTCCCTTTGAAGGAGGAAAGGTGCAGAGTGACTATGGCTTGACTGTAAAATATGTTTACATTAGAGAGACCTTTATAAAAGTTTTGAGGGGAAAGAAGCAAATCTGTTAGAAGTTGATCCAGGATCTAAATCTTGCAGTCAAAGAAAAACATGTCTTGATTTGACTTACAGTATATTGGTTAAGTTAGAGATGTCATCTTTGCCTTACAGCTGTGAACAGAGGCCAGGCCAAATAGTTCTTCCATAGCAATGTTAATTAACTGAAACAAATCTCAAAGGCAGGGATACATTAGCACTGAAATCCAGAAAACACAAATTGCTTCTCAATCTTGGAACTGTATGTTTATCAAGGTTGTAATTTAATTTTCTGCAAATAAAGCCAAACAGTGTTTGTCATTTTAGTGTGAGATTAACTGTAAAACTTCAGTTGTAATGTTAAGAGATTACAGAACCTTATATTATTAATAAAAAGAAAATTGGCCTAAACAAGTATGTGGTTTTTGTGATGAAACTAAACAAATACATTCTACCAACTTGTCATATTGCTTCACTTTAATTTGGTGATGAACTTTTACCTAAGGAAAACTATTAGGAAAGCTTTGGCACTTGGAGAGAGAGAGAAGAAATTGAATTTGTATGCTAATTGAAAAGAGATTGAAAATGTATGCTAATAGGAGCTCTGGTTTTTTGTCCCATCTACAAAACAGGAAACTGAGAGAATTTCACTGAAGGAAGGGCAAAACCACACCTGAACACCAAGGCTACCTGGTTCAGAAATTTCACCTCCTCAGTACTCCCTGTTTGGGCAGCACAGTGACCATATTCAACTGCTCTTGGAAAGTTCTCTTAATATAACACAGGAGCATACCTTGTCTTACTCAGCTTCCCTATATTTCAAAGACCTGTTGTATTGAGTTATTGCAACAGGCATCTCATTTCTTGCTGTTGTGCTCATGTCTTACGTAAAACCTCCGTGTTAAGGTCCTGGAATCTGCTTGAAAGTTCTGCATGCACTAGTGCACCATTGTGAGCAGAAGTGTTTCTGTTATCTGCATTATTGCTATAAAGTCTTTGTGCCTTTTAAGCCAAAATGGCTGAAATCACACAATGCCTGAAAGAGCTGTTGAACTGTCTTGTAATACAGTCTTAACACATATTGCACAAAAACTGCAAAAGTCATAGTATGCAGGGGACAGAAGGGCTAATGATGAGTTCACCTTGTAGAACTATCACAATTTCTCAATATGATCCAAATTTTTTTGTGTGCTTGCTCACAGGAGGGAGAAAACTACCTGACAGCCAAGCATTTTATTGTGTTTCCCTTCTATTAACAGCATTTAAATGCAGTATTTTTACTTAGATCCAGCAAGTCTCAATTTGAAGATCTTAGATGATGATATACTTGTCTCAGGATGACAGCCAGACCCCACCAGTGTTCTCTTTGTTTGTAATACATAAATTTTATAAAAAGTTGGATCTGAACTTGCAGCTGTGTAAATACTGTAGGCTTCACTGTTTATGATCTTATAGTCCCAGCACTGACTTTGAATTCATATTACCTTTACCATAAATCGATGTCTTTCTTTAGGCTCTCTATTGGGATCAGAATTGGCAGGTGGCTGCTTTTTTCATGTTCATCTTTAAGGTCTGCTCTGCTCAAAGGGCAGAGGCAGTATTGCTCAGAGATGTTTGCCATGCTGTCTCTGAAAAATACTAGTGCTGTCAGTTTTTAAATAAATTTTAAAAGAAGAATATTCCTTTTTAAAAATATGGGGGCTATGATATTTTAAATTGTACTGTTACTTGCAGTTTTTACCAATATAAGTTGCAATAATACATACCTTTACTGAAATGCTATGAAATGTTTCATATATGAATTTGGTTTTGCACTTTAGAAAAACAAAGCATTGATCTTTTTATGGGAAACTTTATGAATGTTTCATTTTGATTCAGAATGAAGCTAAATTTATTTCAATTGGCTGTTCATAAATTTCAGTGTAACATTCCTAGTCTCCCTTTTCTGCCTTCATGGTAGTATGCAATAGTGTCCCACCCCCTTATTGGGACATAGTAGCTTCTACATTAATGTATTTGTTGTAGTGCTATAAGGTATCATAGCAGCCTTCTAAAGGATAAAACAGCAATGGAGTTGTGTGTGTGCAGGAAGATGATGGACAAAACTTGATGATGGGCTGTAATCAAGTAAAGTTCAAGTCAATGCTTCTAGAACTTCAGATCAAAGTAGGAAATAGGTGAAAAATGTTTTGTTTAAAAATAATATTTTAAAACTATTTTTAAATTATGAAGAATGTCGAATGATTGTCCCAACTCTGCTGTTCGATATCATGTGGCTTGTCTGAGGTTGGCTGACTTCCCACATTACTTCTACATAGCAAAATATAAAATGGATGGTCTCAAGACAGGGCTTTGATAAAGCTGCTTCCTTTCAGGAGCTGGAAGGGTTGGCTCTATTCCCATGAGTGACGCGGACACTCTGAGCATGTGGATATCTGGCATTGCCGTTGCATCAGTCTGTGCTGTCTCAGCAATACGGTATTCAAAGAAGTTCAAAGACAAGGAATATCACTGATGTTGTGTACTCAAATTAAGTTTGGCAAATACTGAAAACGTAAAAGGGCACTTTGCTAAGTTCAGTTCTTGACTAGGCGCAATCCTGAGGATGTGGGAGTAACGAGAAGGCACAAACCCAGCCGCTGACCTTTCTCCCTCCCAGCCTGTGGCAGCAGCCGGCAGTGTTTCCTGTCTCGCCTTGTTCCTGCTGCTGCAGAGCAGGAAATCCTGACTGCCCAGAGGCGAGGGTTAAAAGCCCTTCTGAAACATGAAGTGACACACATGCTCACCTAGCAAATACAGAGCAGCTGGGTAAATACACGTAGAGATGAGGCCATAAAAGCTGGTCATTAAGGAAAGTAAATCTGGCTAATGTTAGAAAGCAAGATGTGGGTGAGCTGAATGGAATACTTTGATAAGTCAGTAAGCCATAAGGCAAACTGATCTTCTTATAGGGCACTGTTGGTTCTGGAAGTACAGGGCAAGACTATTTTTCCAGACTTTTTTTTTTTTAAGTTAGGATTTTAGTAATAAATGAAG